ACGTCAGAAACTCAGGTGGGACTGGCGAGAATGACGTCTGCTGTGCAAAGAAGTGGAGGGACAGCTTCTCATCCAACCGATTCATTAGATCTGGAGCTTGAGGTAAACTACGTTGTATGCAAGCTGTGACTGATTTTACTCCTTGTTTTTTTCTTTTTCAGTCCATGGCAGCTAGGATTGAAGCATCGTCCAGTGGTGGAAGTATGGGTGTCGGCTTTCGTTGCCTTGAGGAAGACCTTAAAACTGTCTTCTCCATATTTTCAGATGGTAAACAGTCATTGCAATGTGTGGTCTCAGTCTAAGCTTGAAGCTTGTGTGGTGCAGTCGTTCAAAGGCCAACAATGCCTCGGGAGAAGCTAGAACTTGTTCGAGGACAGCTTTTGGGATCCATTTCCCGCAGAAAAGATAATGTAAGGCTATGAAATTCAATTTGTTTCGAGTTTTTTTGGTCTCATTTCTTTTTAATCAGGCTGAAACTTTGGCGACTATAGAGCTGCAAAAGCTCTTGTACGGAGATAAAAGTGTTTATGCGCGTCTGCCCGAGGAGAACACTGTGGGATCTATTTCTCGCAATGATCTGATTGCGTTTCACAGCCATGTTTTTCGGTGAGCTAGTTTTTTTCTTTGTTCTTCTTCATATATCATTTGTAAGAATTTTTGCTTACAGACCCGACTCAGCGGTATTAGGAATTTGGGGTGATTTTGACTCGTCGACAATGAAGTCACTAATTGAAAAAGAATTCTCGGCGTGGAGGACTCCAGAAAACATTAACAAGTTTTTACCAGTAAAGAACGACACCATGCCCGAGCCTGTAACCAGCGTTTCTGAGCCAAAGGTGTTCCTGGTGGATCGTCCCGGCCTAACTCAAGGGTATGAATTAACTCACGAATACTTATCATCTTCGCTAACAGGTAAACCCTCTGTAGCTACGTTCGTATGGGGGAGCTTGGAACTACCATTGCGGATCCTGATGTGTTTTCCTTGGACGTTTTGAATGGCGTGCTAAACGGTTTTGGAGGCCTCTTATTTGACGAGGTAAATGGCTTTTTTGTTAGCGAGTTTGTTGAGCACTTCATCCATGCAGATTCGATCAAAAGAAGGTCTGGCGTACTCAGTATCCGGAGGATGGAGTCCTTCGATCGACCACAGAGTCAGCTTGCTCATGATCGTTGCAGAGTTCTGATTGTCCTTTTTTTTTTCTTTTGCTATAGGGGGCATTCGTTGCAGGAGGGGAGACGCAAGTTCAGTCGGTTCCCAGATTCTTAAAGGCCATCAAGACAGTTCTGATGTCTATTGTCGAGACACCTGTTTCTGAAGGTGAGATTTCTGGTCCAAGCATTTTATCGATTAATTTGCTGTGTGTGTAGAAAAGCTGTCTCAAGCGAAAGAAGCCGCTCTAAATTCTTTTGTTTTCAATATTTCAAGCAGGTAATTTATGATTATAACTATAAGTGTCAGTTTCTCATGGTCTGGTTTTTGGATGCAGAGAATCGCAGCTGGGACGCATTCTTATCTACGATCTATTCGGAATTGATCAGAATTTACCTTTCACGTACAAAAAAAGAGTGGAAGAAGTAACGACGGATGATATTCTACAAGCCGCACGAAGGCACCTTCATCCCGACTTGGAACCCATCGTAGTTGTTACTGACGCTAAGGCACTGGGGCCTCAAACGCCATCTTTTGTGCCACTGCGAGGACGATAAAAGCTACACGCAAAGTGACAAGCATTTTATTTTTTCTCTATATTATCTCATTCATGAGATGGCTTTTGCAGGTATTCATGCGGCGAATCCTGCTAAAGCACACGAAATGGCTGCTTGTCATCCAAGGGATGATGAACTTCCATCCTTGTTAAGAGAGTGTGGTAGAGTGAAGGACTTGGATCAAGGCCGGAGGCTCCACCGTTGGATTTTCGCTCACAAATGCCATAGATATGACAGGTACCTGAGAAATCTGGTTGTTCAGATGTATGGAAGCTGTGGGTGCTTGCAGGAGATGGAAGCGGCTTTCTTGGAGATCAGAGAGCCAAATCTCTTCTCATGGAACATCCTGCTCACAGCCTATGCCCAAAACGGGTATCTCGAGGGCGCGGTATCGACATTTCAGAGAATGCCAGAGTGCAACATATTGTCCTGGACGAACCTCTTGTCAACTTACGGTCGGGCTGGTCAAGTTGGAGCGGCAAAGCTGGTTTTTGACGTGATCCCGGAGCTGGACGTGGCTGCTTGGAACGCGCTTTTGGAAGCTTACTCTCAAAACGGGCAGTTCGGCAAGGCAAAAGAGGTGTTTGACGAGATGCCGCATCGAAGCGTGGTCTCTTGGACTATGATGATTCAAGCGAACTTTGAGCTGGGCCACGTCGAAGAGGCAGAGCTTCTTTTCGAGCGGATACCGGAGAGGAACATCGTCTGCTGGACGGCTATGGTGGCGGGACTTATCGAGAATGACAGGATGGAAGCAGCACAGGAGGCCCTGGATCGGATGCCCGAGTGGAACATACTCTGCTGGAACGCACTGCTGGTGGGATACTCTCAGAAAGGATTAGCGGAAGAAGCCCAGGCTACACTCGAGAGAATGCAGGTGTGGAACTGCGTCTCGTGGAACTCGCTCGTTTCAGTTCACGCTCAAAACGGAGAACTCGCCAGAGTGAAAGAAACTTTCGACAGGATGCCCGAGCGGGACCTCGTCTCGTGGACAAGAATGGTGCAAGCGTATGCTGAGAACGGACACATTGAGCACGCGAGGTGCCTGTTCGATGCAATGCCGGAGAGGAGCACGGTGTCGTGGAACACAATGGTGGCGGCGTGCGCTCACAGCCAGCATCTGGAAGAAGCAAAGAGGATGTTCTTGGAGACACCCGAGAAGGACGTGGCGTCGTGGAACACAGCTCTCTCCAACACCGAAGCCAGGGACGATCTGGAGAGCTTCTTCGATCGGATGCCGGTGAAGAACATCGTCTCGTGGAACGCTCTCCTCGGCTCTCGGGTCTGCGTTGGAGAATCCGGGAGGAAGAGTCGCAAGGCAGTGGAGGTGATGGCGAGGATGGGCCTAGAAGGCGAGAGGCCGAACGAGATATCAGTGCTCGGGCTCTTGGTGGCTTGCGTGCATTTGGGAATGCTGGACGAGGCTAGAAAGGTGGTGGCGGGCATGAGAGACGACTATGGAGTGGATCCAAGGACGGGACACTTATCGGCCGTGGTGGGAGTTCTCGCGAGGTGTGGAGACACGGCACAAGCACAGGTTTTTCTGGAAAGCTTACCACTTGGAGGCTTTGCGACGTGGGGTGCTCTCCTCAGTGCTTGCAGCACTCACGGCGATGCTGGGAATGGCAGAGAGGCAGCGAAGCGAATGCTAGTTGATCCGGGAAGGGGAAAGAAACCGGACGACTCCTCGCCGTATGCTCTACTCGCCAACATTCTTCTCGGGTAGAACAAAGTTCCTGTGGAAGAAATCCCTAAAGTGGTGAGTTTGGTGATGGAGGAGACAGGCGAGGGGTCCATTCGCGAAGGTAAAAGCTGGTTTTTTTTTCTCGTTTTGAGGGCGATTCTCATTTTGGGTCGATGTGTTCCCTCGTGGGTTGTGAAGATTCGAAGGATACAAGCGAAGAGGCATCGCCATTTCCGGTTTTTCAGAATGAGGATGATGATCTTCCCCCGAAGGTGGGATCTCCGGAGGAAGAACTCGTCGATGGTGTGACGAAACAAATCATCAAGGAGGGGCAGGGGGACACGCCTCAAAGACATGCTACTTGTTTCGGTAAGCTCTTCCTTTTTTCTTCTTCTTCTTTTCCGAGCAAAGGCCAAGGCTAATACGTGCTTGTTTCTTCAGTGCACTACCGAGCATGGACTGTGAGTACAATGCATAAGTTTCAGGATACGAGGAAGGAGCAGCAAGTGCTAGAGCTTGTTCTGGGACATGGTAAGCTGACTTGCCTTTATTCTTTTCTTGTCTAGAACATTTCTGGTACTGGTTTTGCAGAGAAAGAACAGCTGCGCGGCCTTGCAATTGCTGTTGCGAGCATGAAGGCTGGCGAGAGCGCTTTGTTCAAAGTTGGGTGGAAGCTTGGGTATGGAAAAGAAGGGAACTTTTCGTTTCCAAATGTTCCACCAATGGCTGATCTTGTGTACGAAGTGGAGCTCATCGGATTCGAGAATGCACGCGAGGTAAAGTTGCTCCCGATCGTGATTCGGATTGGTTTTTTAATTTTGTTTTCTTTCTTTTGTCTCCAGGGAAGACCACGCGCAGAAATGACAGTGGAAGAGAGAATCGAGGCCGCTGATCGACGGCGAGTGGATGGAAACGACGCCTTCAAAGAGGACAAAGTCGGCGAAGCAATGCAGAAATACGAGATGGTATGCTCGTCTGTCTTTTCTTCTTTTCCAGACGAAAACTCTACAAATTTCAGGCACTGGCGTACATGGGAGACGACTTCATGTTCCAACTCTTCGGGAAATACAAAGACATGGCCAACGCCGTGAAGAATCCGTGCCACTTAAACATGGCAGCTTGCTTGCTCCGGCTCGAGCAGTACGAAGAAGCCATCGGCCAGTGCAACGTTGTAAGTCTCCCAGCTCTCGCTCCTCCCGAAAGAAGAAACTTTGATTGATAGTAACCGGGAGAAGCCAGGTCCTTGCAGAAGACGAGAACAACGTCAAGGCATTGTTCCGGCGCGGGAAAGCTCAAGCGGCACTGGGACGAACAGACAATGCAAGGGCGGACTTCAACAAGGTGAGAGCGCTGGCTCCAAACGACAAGGCAGTGCTCAAGGAGCTCAAGCTGATAGCGCAGCACGACAAGGAGCTCTACGAGAAGCAAAGGCAGCTCTACAAAGGCCTGTTTGGGCCGCCGCCGCTGGAGACACCATCGCTCAAGAGAAAGAAATGGGTGAGAGCTCTCATAGATTGGTTCTTGTCGCTCTTCCGTGCCTTGAAGCTTGGACGTAGAAAGAGCGAGTAAAAAGTACGTTCGTTTTCTCACAACGAAAATATGGTATTTTTAGCATATTCACCTATTCGCATTTATGAATTTTATGCTGATACCAATCCGTAAAAGGCTTTCAAGTGAACTAAGAGAACGTCGCCTTGAGCTGCCGGACAGCATTCTCGTCAATAAAGAAGGTCTTGACGAGCACCTCGTCCAGGATGTCCGATCCAAACATGGAGTTTGCGATCAGCTGGAAGCCCGGTGACTGCGAATCCAGCGTCACGATGGCCATGGCGGTGGTGTTGCCAACGTTGAGCTGCCAGTGGATCAAACCCCGCGGGAAGATCATCACGTCGCCTTTGGAGATGACCCGAGCGAAGAGCTGGTTCTGGGTGGTGACGAATCCGGCGTACAAGCTCCCCTTCACGACGTAGATGATCTCCGAGCCTCGCGGGTGCGTGTGTGGAGGGATGAGACCGCCGGGAGCCCAGTCGAGCCTGGCTATGCCGAGGCCGAGAGTGTTGAGCCCCGGATAGTCCTGGACGAAGCCAAACACCGCGGCGGCTCCCGTTGGGACGCTGGTGTTTCCGGAGTTTCGAAGGCCCGAGAAGATGAAATCCTCGGTGGTGGTGTTGGCCGCTCGCTTACAAGGATAGCCATTGAGAGTGAGGTCCTTTGTGAGGTCGGCCACGCAAAAGTCCTGGAGGGGATCGGGGTCAGAGGCTGTGATCACCTGGAAGATTGGTGCCGCGATGACGAGAAGCTGGAGGAGTGTGATCATCGTCGCGTTCTTGAGTGATCCCTGGCGAACTTGAGGAACAAAAAGAGAGAGATGATAAAAACTAAATCTTATGGACTCACAAGATCTGCTTTTGCTGAGAAGTGGCTTGAGCTGTGAGGTGAGATGTGAAGGTATTTGTAGGATGGAAAGTCTTGGGTGTCAAGAAAATATAGGTTCCACGAACCACTGGGAGGCGTAATAAGTCTTCGTTGACAATGTGGACGCTTCCGTAAACCTTCGGAGGGTTGAAATAATCTTTGCATGAGCGCGTCAACCGTGGATTTCTCTCGCCAAACATTGCCAAGGAGCTCCATGTCGGACACTTGATTGTAACGAAGACAGATGGTGCCATAGGCCACTAGCCTTGTGGTTCGTAATTTTTCCTCGGGCTCTAATATTTAGGTATCGTGTCCATGTTGAGAAGGCGCGTGCTTAACGGGCAGCTCGGCACGCAAGTGCGTCAACTCCTTGATGCAAAACAGCAACATAGGATGAGAAAACAAGCAAGTTCTCGCTATTCTCTACCTGCACAACGAAGATAGGATTCCGATATGCCTTTGATTCTAGACCAGATTCCCATGGCATTGTTGCTGCAAGAGAGTTTCAAGATTGCTCCATGAGGAGGAAATCTCTGTCTCCAAACTTGGCATTGTTGCAAGCGGTGACGAGAAGTGTATGCGTGTCTTAGCATATTCCCAGTATCTTTACGTTTCCTCCCCTAGTGTTTAAGCAGCTGCATGGAGAGAATACACCCTAGCTTGCGCGACGCCGGCGGCGAGAGGGCGGGGAAAGCGAGCGTGAGAGATGGCTTCGATTCTTCTGCAAATCCGATTCTAACTTGACAGGGATGGCGATCGCCAGCTTCCGGGGCTGGTCGCCGAAATATCGCCGGCTTCAACACAGGGAAGCATTGCATAGGCGCGGCGCCAACTGTAAGAATCAATCGTGTCAGCAATGGATGTAACGAGCATTTGCGTTGGATCCAGTCTCGCGACAGACACGGGGCGATCGATTTCAAGGATTAGGCTCTTTGCTTTCCGGCATTTGCTAACTACAGCGACCAAGAAAGTAAGTGCTTCGCAATTCCTTCTTCACGCATTTCTTCCTCACAAAATTTCGTTCGTTTGATCACAGATATGGCGCGCAACCATAAGCTTCCATGGCCTTACGTCGTGGAACCGGAGGAATCCTTCCGAATCGCAGTCGAGAGCCTCATCGTGGATGAAGCAACGCGCAAGAGAGAGATGGTCCTCACAACGTGTCCGGTCGCCCGTGATCTATTGATCGAGATGCTTTTTAGCGCCTTGTGTTGACCCGAGCTTTGTCTCCTCTGCCGGACTCGCAACTCTTTGCGCGCAAACCCTGTAGCAGTCAAGCCAAATTATTTGTTTCGCTTACAAAGTCTTACAAAGCTACATGATCGTGCATGCCGCTGACTCGTTCGACGACCTCGTGGCGGAGTTTTATGGCGATAGCTATGAGAGTCGCCTAGTTCCCCAGGGGGAATGGCCGGTTGAAGGAGATGATTCACACAAAGCTATGGAGGCACAGCTCCTACAACACCTCAAGATCTCTCGACGACGGTGAAGGTTACGGTGGAAACAGTGAAGCGAGCTCACTTGATCATGTTCTATGGAGCCAAGGCGGACTTCAAAGCAGGAGAGCTGCGAACAACCGATGTGTCGTCTGATCCTGGTAGCAGCTTTTCACGGCGGACTTGCTGTTCGTCTTGCAAGAGGTTGAAGAGCAGCGGCTCATGGTGGCGCACACAAGCTGGACAGTCAGGAGCCGTGTGAACAAGGTCGCGAGCATCTTCTATCGGTTCATCCGTTTCCAAACGGTAATGGCCGCATTTGCCTGCTCGTGCTTCCAGTCCTCATGAAGATGTTTCGAGTGGTTCCTTTGGTTTTGCCGCTCTGGGACGGGAGTGCTACAATGAGACGTCACTGCCTGAAGAAAGCCATAAACAAGATGGATTTCTCTATTCAAGCTTGATCTATAACGTCTACGTGAAGAAGGTATTGGAAACTTTATGTCGAAATTACTGACTCTGTAAGCTGTACAGGAGCAAGGCGCAGCAGCCTATGGCCGAGCTTTCAAAGAATATGATCGTTTGCAAGCATTACTCGTGAGTACACAAGGAAGACTATATTTCTTATAACGTCTTCAAGCTCCAGGCTCAAGCTCTGTCACGGTTTTGGACCATAGAGTGCATGAGACAGATCAATGCTGCTCTCGTTCAGGCATGGACCATGAGCAACAATTATAAACAAGAGCGGCTATTCTTACCAAGGTACCTATAAAACTTCTCGTCAAGTTTTGACAGGGATCTCATTAGCAACGAAAGGATTAGGCCAGAGAATGTGAGCAGTAAATCCCTTTACCAGCGGGGGTAAATCGTGGTGAATGTGAACATCTAAGTCAAATGGAACTTTTACAGGGAAGGGCAGCGTGATCACTGAATGGTGAGCATAATTCATTTTTAACGAGCTAGCCGACTATTCACTAAAGCTGTGTAAGCAGCTTTTTTCTCTTAGGGTTTATACACAATAGAAACATTTTCTTTGATGGCACGATATCCGTCTGTGAGGAACGAGATCTCCCAGATTTTTCAGGCAGCATTTCGCAGCACGGTCGGAGAGTGGGTCTCTGTGGAGCCCATTGTCATCGCTTGCAACAATCCCAAGTTTGGAGACTATCAAATGTAAGTCGAGATTTTCCTCTTCATGGAGTAACCTTTAAACTGTCCTGCAGCAACAATGCGATGGGAATCTGGTCTAGAATCAAAGGCATGCAATCCACATACGGGAATCCAGTCTCCGTTGCGCAGGTAGAAAAGTCTAGCGAGAACTTGCTCGTGTTTTTACGCTTTTCTTCTCAGGATGTTTTGCGGAACATTCCCAGGACGAGCATGCTTGAGAAGACCAGCGTTGCTGGAGCAGGCTACATAAATGTCACGCTCTCGGCACGCTTCATTGCAGAGGTATAGATCTTAAGCTCGATCGTTCTCTTCTTCTTATCCTATGTTTCAAAATTAAAACAGAAACTTACTACTGTTTTGCATCAAGGAGTTGACGCACTTGCGCCCGAGCTGCCCGTTAAGCACGCACTCGTGGATTTCTCTTCGCCAAACATTGCCAAGGAGCTCCATGTCGGACACTTGCGCTCGACAGTTATCGGCGATAGTGTGGCGAAAATGCTTGAGTTTTGTAACGTAAGTGTCATGCGGAGAAACCACGTTGGCGACTGGGGAACGCAGGTAACGAAGCCAAAGTCCTCCTTTCTTTGTTCCTTTCAGCAAGACCGTGGCAGGTCTTTGCAGTTTGGAATGCTACTTGAACACATATTTGAGACGGGTGCCGAGGTAGAGGCTATCGGCGACTTGCAGGTTAGATAACGTATGGTTTGCTTTTAGAAATCCTGAGTACTGACATCGAGAAATCACATTGTCCGCAGAAAATGTACGTTGAAGCATCCGAGAGATTTAAAAGCGATGAGCAATTCAAAGCTAAAGCCCAGCAAGGTGTGGTCAAATTACAGGTACTGGCGATGGAACAAATATGTTTTCTCAGTACGTTTCTTTGCTTGGATTTAGAGAAGCGAGGCGGAATATCACGCTAAGTGGAAGTCCCTTTGCGACGTGAGTCGAAGAGCTTACGAACGAACTTATGGCCGTCTGAACGTTTCTCTTGAGGAGAAAGTGAGCGGATTCACGTCGCTTTGTTCAGATTGAGGAAAAGGTTTTTCTTTTGTCTTGCAGGCCGAGAGCTTTTATCATCCATACATTCCCTATGCTATCAAGTCTCTCGAAGAGAAGGGACTTTTGCAAGAGAGCGACGGTGCAAGGGTGATATTTCTCAAAGGCTATGATATACCGCTGATTGTAACAAAGACAGATGGTGCTTATACATATGCTAGCACTGACTTAGCAGCCTTGTGGTTCGTAATTTTCTTTTTCTGTTGGGATCAAAATAGTTGTGTCAGGTACCGTGTCCATGTCGAGAAGGCGGAATGGATTATCTACGTTACTGATGTTGGACAGAAGCAGCACTTTGATATGTTCTTCCAGGTGAGAGGTTTTGTTTTGGTTTCTCTTTTACATACATGACGATATCTATGTATAGGCTGCAAAACTCGCTGGGTGGTTGCCGGAGCATGGATTTCCCAAAGCCCAACATATTGGATTTGGAATGGTGCTTGGCGAAGATGGGAAGCGCATCCGAGGTAGAAAAGGAGGGGTTTTGCTTGCAAACTTGCTGGACGATGCCAAGAGCCGCAGCCACAAGGAACTGATAGAGCGAGGTAACTGACCCGTCGGAGCTCGTAAAAGTTCTCATGATCACATCCTAGGCCGAAAAGGAGAGTGGAGCGGTGAAGATTTAGAGGCAGCAGCTGAAGCACTTGGCTATGGAGCCGTCAAGTAAGTTGTCAAGTTCTTCCACAGATATGAACTTCTTGTGTTTTTGTAGGTACGCAGACCTGAAAAACAACCGCGAAACAACCTATAGATTCGACTTTGAGCAGATGCTCGACATCAAGGTTTTTTAACGTCCATCGTTTTCTCAGTTCCTTATTTTTGAGCATTTGCTGGCAGGGAAACACTGCTGTTTATCTTTTCTATGCGTATGCACGGGTTTGTTCTATCATCAGAAAATCTGGAAGAAGCATTGACGAAATCAAACAGGTATGGCTGTCTTGTTTCTCAAATGCTTTTTGCAAATAAATTTTGCAGACTTGCGAGCTGGTTGTGGAGCACCCACACGAAAGATCTCTCGGGTTACATCTCGTTCAGTTCACAGAGGTAAGCACTGGTGCTTTTACGCACGACTTAACCATTTTTTTTTCCGTGAGCTTAGACCGTAGAGGACTCCATCAGCCGGCTCTTGCCGAGTACTCTGTGCGATTACCTGTACACTCTCTCGGAGCTCTTCACGCAGTTTTACACCAGCTGCAAGGTTCTCTCTTTCTGAAATCCTTTTGTTTCTATCTCGAGCTTTTGTCGCAGGTGAATGGAAGCTTGCAAGAGGCAAGCCGGTTATTGCTCTGTGAGGCAACCCGCCTGATCATGAAACAAGGCCTTGAGTTACTGGGCCTTACACCTCTAGAGAGGTTATGATTATCGAGTACTTTCACAGTGAAGGTATGTCGAGTGATTCTTTTACATAAAGAAGTTACATACCATCGAAGCCTTTTTCCCTCCTTTCTCCTTTTCTCTAAACCTTCCCTTCTTACGAAACAAGTTCTTTGTTATACACACAAACTTTTGAAAGTATACACACAAACTTTTGAAAGTATACACACAAACTAAGCCGCAGCAAGTGCCGCAATGTTCATGGGCGATACGTACTCGGTGCTGCCGTTGTACCACCTTTGCACCAGTATGGTGTTGAATGCCTCGGTCGGATGAACCAGATCCCAGAACATATACTTGCTGCTGTCCTTGCAGTGGAACGCACCAGGGTAGCAAAACATAAACGGGATGATGCTGCTGCTCGGGCAGCACCCCTGGTGAACGTTGCTCATGCCAAACGCCGCTGGATCCCTCATCACCTCGTCCATGATCCCTGCAGCGTTTGCGTAGATGGGAGTGAAGCCCTGGTGCGACGTCCGCATCTCCTCCAGCATCGTTTGCAGCTGCTCGTTGAAGCGCTTCGTCATCCACTCGCCCAGCTCCGTGCAGCTGTCGCCCAGCTGCGTTGCCGGCACGCATCCAACGTTGAGAATACCCACCACCACGAACTTGCGTGCGCCCAAGTCGTAGAGACGCTGCGGCAAAGAGCAAAAGAAGTTAGAGATGAACTATGCAAAGTTTCATGAGAGATTCGAAAGATAGTTACTACTCACCTCTAATTGTGCATGGAACTGTGAGATGATCGTGTGCATGGGTTCTATGGATGCCATGTCGTTGTTCCCAGTGCTAATGTAAAAGATCGAGCTGGCAATCAAGTCCCTCGGCAGTCCTTTCGCAACATGCGAGAAGAGGTTGACTTGAGTGGAAAGGGATAAAATAGATCCCTACACAATTTTCCTGGTTAGAACCTCACTCGTGATTAGAAACTGAAGGCTTACCATTCCAGTGCTATTGAGAATCCCCGAGGTGGCCGATCCAAAGTTCATGCCCTGGGTGGCAGCGCTGGAATTTGGGCTGTAAGGTGGCGGATATGGAAGTCCCAAGTGCTCGGCAACAAGATCGACCGCCAGCTTTCCATCGCAAAACCTTCCACTGGCTTCGTGACCCTTGAACTTGAAGCCGTACGGCAAATGGTTTGCCTTTGCAATCGTGTCGAGATTGTTGTTGTTACCTGGATCCACGATGGAGTCACCGAAAACGAACAAGGCATGGACACCAGCTTTGTCATGGTGGTGGTGATGGTGATCCACGAGCCTACTGGCATGGCAGAATACTACTAGAAAACCAAAAGCCAAAGCCTTCCAGAAAGCCATGTCTTTAATCCTTAGCTTCAAAACACCTAAAACCTTGACTTAATAAAGGTCACCTAGATAACCTTTTCTGATTCTCATAATACTATCGACTTTCACTGAGACTTTAGTTGATTTTGATTTTGTGTATAACCCTTTTACTTGACTTCTATAAATCCACTCAACATGTATCCCATGCCCATCATATTCAAGATGGAAAGTGGCGTTGGAATTGGGAGCTATGCCAGGAACTCGGCCTTCCAGAGCTCAGATTTCCCTCTAGTTGTTCCAGCCATAAGAAACGCCATAGCCATGCACTGCAAATCGATCAGCAGTTCCACCGCAGGCTCAGTGTAAACTATCGCTGGAGTTCCGGGTTGTTTTTATGAACTTTTACCATCTTCCAGCATTCACTTCGTGTCCAGCGCTGCGTTGCATTGGGTCTCCAAGGTAAAAACTCTTGAGAGTTTTTGTGATGATCACAAGAAGTTCTCTTCTTCCAGATACCCGATGCGGTCCTGGATGGCGAATCTGTTTGCTGGAATGGTGGCAATATATCGCCGGACAAGGCAAAGCCCGAGGTGGCGCAGGCTTATCAGCAGCAAGCTCACGAAAATCTTTGCAACTTTCTCAAGTTTAGAGCCGAAGAGATCGTTCCTGGGGGACTATTGTGCATGCTGATGAACGCGAGGAGGAGATTCCAAACCGAGAACACTAGCGCAGACGTTGTCAACTGGTTTACAGCTGCTTGGAGCTCATGGTCACCGAGGTATAAAATACCATGAAAATACCATAGCTTGAGATCTTGGAAAGCGGCTTTATGTGCAAGAGAACCCGAGACACTTTCAACATGCGCTGCTTCCATCGAGCAGACTATGAAATCCTTGAGGCAGTCGAGGAAACTGGTTCTCGTTGATCCCCCGAAACCAGCGTATGGAGAAGCGAGATCTCGGGCGGCTGCTGCAAGATGGGAAGAAAACACACGCAGCGAGGCAATGTTTCTAAAGAGTGTTTCTTCTCAGCTCGTGGAGAAACATCTCTCTCACAACGATTTCCTGGTGGAGGAGTCGCATAAACGGCTCGAGAGGCGCCTACTCACGCAGGAGAAGTCACTGTTTTCTCGTCACTTACCCATGCATTTCAGCGCACGACTATTGGAACAAGCATGAAAAAAATTCTCGATCCTCTTCCAGTTCATAAGATCATGATCAAACCATGGAAAAAATAAAAGAGAGGCGCTATTTACTTGTTCGCGAATAAAAATTTCCACTGTACAAGTCGAGCGGTTTTCCACAGCTAAAAGTCAATGGAATCACTCGAAAGGAGTGGTTCTCTAATCTCTTCCTGATATGAAAATTAGAGAAAGAAGAAGAGTTTTTGCCTTAGAAGTACTCACCAGATTGGACTTTGGATCGACGTAGCGTTTGTTCCACGCATCCACGATCAAACACGCACATCCATCTCCCCAAATGTTGACAGAAGTGCGGACGGCACACAGCAGCCAATCCACTGCGTAGAGAAGTGAAACATCTCCCACGAATTGGGAGTATCCAATCGACTGTAGACAAAACCATGAAGAACATCAAGATATCCTAAAGTTCTTTTTTTTAAAAAGTTGGTCCACCTGAAGAGCAACGATCATTGTAAGTAGGCCAGAATTTGGGACCGGACCGCAGCCAACCGCTGCAAGAGTTGCTGCAATCGCAAGAACAAACAGCTTCGCGGGTGGTAAATCGAGGCCATGAGCCTGGACAAGAGAAAACCGAAGAATTCTTTCTAAGAAAAACAGAATTTTTCTTACGTACTTGACAGATAAACAGTACAGAGACTGCTTCATATAGTGCGGATCCATCGCGATTGATATTTGTTCCCAGAGGAATGACGAAGCGAACTAAGTTTGGATCGCAGCCTGAGGCCACGGCACAGTTCATTGTCACTGGCATTGTCACCGCGCCGGACGATGTTCCTAGACCCATGATCAAAGCTGGAAAGAAATTCCTACAAGATATGGATTCAAAGCTGACAATGCTGTGCCATCAAATTGGCTTACTTGAGAGCATTGAAGGGATTTCTTCGCGAGAGCAGCATTACCATGAGAGGAAGAAGAATTAAAGAGTGTAGCATCAAACCACCTAAGACCGTCCCGACGAATAGCCCAAGAGCCTTGAGCAGACGAAAGACGTCGCAAGCTTTCAAGAGCGCGCTTGCGGTCAGTGACGCAACTCCGATTGGAGTCAAGGTGATAACTGCGAAAATCTAAGCTTCACAAAGAAAAAAAAAACCTTAGAAAAAACAGAACTAGAGAAGAGAGAAAACGATGGCTTACAATCTTCATTATAATTGCATTGCAAAGCTCAACCAACTGGACTAATGAATCTGCTTTCTCGCCTGGCAAAACAAAAAAAAAAGTAGTTTTTTTTCTTGGCAGAAAGAAGAAGCAATGTAGTACCGAAAGTATTGACGAAGAACGCAAATACGATAGCGAAGGCAACCATGCCAAGATAATCTGATTTAGCAGCAGCGGCAACAAAATTTGTTGGGATAAGATCTCGGCCAATCTGCAAAAGTGGCTCCACCAAAGTGGCAGCTGCGTTTTCTTGCAGAGAAACCGAGCTGCAGCAAGGAAAAAAATCGCTCTTTTTTCACAAAAGATGAACTTGACACAACTTACGTGATTGTAATGTTGTTCCTAGTGCATTTGTCATTGGTGGTGCTAAATGGTCGAGACTGGCCTGGCTTGATCAAGTAAACCAGAGTGATCCCGAGTACCACAGCCAGTAGCATTGATATGAGGTAGTAAAAGAGCGACCACCGCGTGATTCTTCCAACGCTGGACCAAAAAAGTTTTCTCAGAAGTCCATGGAGGAAACGAGAAAAAACGCAATACCCATGCTGAGTGTGTCTCAAGCTGAAGACTCCGGACATTAGAGCGAAGACAATCAATGGCAAAACGAGCTGCTGCAGTGCTCGAAGATACAATTCGCCAGGATATCCTAGAAACCGAAAACGAAGAACGAAATCACCAACAAATGGAAATCTTTGCCACGCACCTATGAGCTCAATCGTCAAGTCGGAACAGTGGGCTCTGTAAAGCGCAGCTCCTAGACCGATTCCACACACCACTCCCAGGAGTGTCCACCACACGAGCGTGTCAGATCTGCATAGAGCCATGGCGAGGAAAAATAAAGAAGAACTTGCGAGCTCCACGAGCTCCACGAATGTGGGGACAAGGAACCTATGCAGTGCATTCCACGGCAAAGAAATGACAAGCAAAGCATCTTAGGGCAGTTGACTAGAGAGTTTGTCTATGGAGGTGAGTAGCTCTCTCTAAATCTATGCATTCTGGAAGACGAAGAAGCTTAGTTCTCCAAGGTGGGCATTTTCTCCTCTCTAGTCGCGGGCTTTCCATCGCCATAGCTCCACAGCAAAGGCACGAATCCAGTGTTCTTGGCTTGCTTGCCTCGCTCAAGCAATGCAAGACCCTCGTCGAGGGCCGAGAGATCCACGCTCGAGCGATGGCGAGCCGGCAAAGCAAAGATAAGTTCGTGGCCAGCGCTCTCGTGAGCATGTACGCGAGGTGTGGGAGCGTCTTGGAAGCTCGCAAGATCTTTGATGAGCTTGAGAGGCGGGATGTTGTGACTTGGAACTCTCTCCTGCTGGGATATGTCGACAACGATGATCCAGCCAGTGCTCTGGAGCTCTTTGCTCGGATGGATCGCGGGCGAGATCGCCATCGATGCGATCCAAACGCGAGGACTTTCGTGGCTGTGCTCAAGGCTTGTGCGATCTTGGCGGCGAGAGAACAGGCTCACGAAGCTGACGGACGAGCGCTCAAGCTCGCTGCTCTCAAGCAAGGCGTGGCGATCCACTCGCAGCTCGCGAGAGCTTCCAGAGGTATGGATATCTTCGTTGCTAGCGCTCTCGTCACTATGTATGCAAAGTGTGGCAGTGTGATCGAAGCTCGAGCGGTGTTTGATCGAATGCCGTTGCACGACTTGGTTTCCTCGACGGCCTTGATGCTGGGATACGCGGAGAACAGCCAAGAATCGCTGGCGCTGGAGCTCTTCTCGAGCTTTAGTTTCCACTCCCAAGGTATTGCTCCAGACGCTACTTTGTTTGTTGCCGCGCTGAAAGCTTGCTCCAGCCTCGCAGTGAAGGAGGACGGCAGGGAGATCGATGGAAAGCTCGTGAAGGTGGAGAGCTTGGAGAGAGCGATGGCTATCCATTCCCTGGCGGCGAAGTTTGTCTGCGAGTTTAATCTCTACGTCGCGACTACGCTGGTGGACGTGTACGCGAAGTGTAAGAGCGTGGTGAGCTCGCAGAGAGTCTTTGATAGGATGCCTTGCCACAATGCTGTGTCTTGGACGTCGCTGATGATGGGATATATCGACGCAGGGAATGGAGAGCTCGCCATCGATTTATTCTCGCGGATGGAGCTCGCGAGTTCCTCCTCAATCGACGCGGCAACTTTCGTCTCGGCGCTCAAAGCTTGCTCGAGCCTCTCCGAGAGAGAAGAGGCGAGGGAGCTCGATGGGAGGCTTGTCAAGGTGGAGTCTCTCAAGAGAGGAGTGGAGATCCACGCTCGAGCGGAGAAAAGTGGCTGGGAGCTCGACGCAAGCGTGGGGATTTCGCTGGTGGATATGTACGCGAAGTGTGGCTGCTTGGTGGAGGCCAGACGAGTGTTTGACAGGCTCTCCTCGAGCAGCGTGGTGCCGCTCACGTCTCTCACGCTGGGGTACGCGGAGAATGGCCAGGGAGAGCTCGCAGTGGAGCTCCTCGAATCGAAAGTTTGCGAGCAAGGAGGCGGGCTTGATCCGCCAACTTTCGTCGCGGCTTTGAAGGCTTGCTCGAGCATGGCCGGCAAGGAGGCCGGGGAGCTCGTCCATGGCAGGCTTGTGAAGCTCAAGGCTCTGGAGAAAGGGATGAGCTTCCACTCGCAGGCGATGGATAGGAGCTTTGAGACGGACACCTACGTAGCCAATACTCTGGTGGACATGTACGCGAGGTGTGGGAGCATGGTAGATTCGAGGGGTGTTTTCGACAGGGTGGTGGCCAGGAACTCCGCCACTGCCGCGTCCTGGAACGCCCTCCTGCTGGGATACAGCGAAAACGGCGAGGAAGATCTCTCGCTGGAGCTCTTCCCGAGAATGCTGGAGAGCGAAGCTATGGCGAACTCCCGGACTTTCGGCGTCCTGCTAAAAGCATGCGGAGCTGCCGTGGCTCTGGACAAGCTGCAAGCGATCGAGGCAAGGATCTACAGGGCCGGTCTCGAAGTTGATGAAACTCTTGCAACTTCGCTTGTGGATGTTTACGGGAAGTGTGGAGATATGATCCGGGCACGCTGTGTTTTCGACTGGATCGTCGCTGCTGGAGGTGGCGACTTGGTTCTCTGGACGGCTCTCATTGCGGGGTACAGCCGGGTGGGAAAATGGAAGCTCGTTTTTGAGAGCTTTAGCTCCATGGAAGATCGAGGCTTGGCAGCCAACGCTGTGACGCTGGTTTGTTTGCTCACAGCGTGTAGCCACAGTGGTCTCGTCGAGAAAGGGAGGAGCTACTTTCGCGACATGGTGCCGAAGTTTGGGATCTCTCCGGGAGTGGAGCACTTGAGCTGCATGGTGGATTTGCTAAGCCGGGCCAATCACCTCGACGAGGCTGTGGAGATGGTCAAGAGCATGCCGGCTGGAGAGAGTGGGGTTGCGTGGATGACGATCCTGGGAGCTTGCTCGAAGTGGAGAAACGTGAGGATTGGAGAGATTGCTTTTGGTAGATTGGTGGAGAGCGATAGTCACTCGGCTGGAGCTTATGACTTGATGGCTAATATCTATGGACGAACATAGATTGATATGGAAACATCGAACTTGTCATTACATTTTTCCTAAAGTTCGGCCAAAGTTCCTAGTTGTCATCGCATTTTTTTTCTGGCAAAAAAAAAAAAAAAAAACGGATTTTGCATGCTTGGGATTTAAAACTTTGGTGATGTTTTAAGCCCTAGAAATCTCATGGAGATCGAGGAAGCGGTGATAGCCGCAGCCAAGAAGCTGGGCTGGCGGCTCAAAGCACGGCATTGCCATTGTCTCGCTCGAGGTATGGAATAAAACGAGGTGCTAGAGTGGAATTTGATTAAACTCTGCTAGATCTTTTCTTCGTCCTCGTGGGAGTGAGACCTCTTGTCATGATCGATTACTTGCCTTACAGCGCAAATCTTCTCCAGCTGCTGACCTCTCTAGTAAACTCCGTGTGCGAGGTTTGCAAAGATTTCTTCGTTGCTTCATTCCTCGCAAAACAACTTCCAGGCTTTCAAAGGATGGAGACTCATGTCCATGGACGAATCCATGATCTACTTTCTCCACGCAGCTAATCTGGAAGAGTACATGGAAAGCTCCCTGGGCGACGAGAGCTGGCTGAGCTTTATAATCCTGGACGATGGTCCTGCTCGGGTATGTTTTTTTTCCCGAAAGAACAAAGCTTTTGATTCTTTGTAGCTCCCAGGTGGCCACACAGCTTGAAGAACAGTCAGTGAAAGCCACTCTCAGACGATTGCAGGCTCGTTTGTCACAGTCCCTCGCGGAAGAATCTCGTGAGTGCTCGCTCATTGATTTTAATCACGGTCTATCGGAGCTGGATATCTCCATTCCTACGTGCAACGGGTAAGTTCTTCGTTCTCTCTTTTCTCAAAGCTAAACAAAACGAAGTTACTCGCGAAGATGGCTGCTTGGATATCCAGTGATTTACGTGTTCTCTAAAGACAAGGCTTCTCAAGCATCGCGGTGCTTATCATCGGTCCACTTGTGTTTATACAAGCTTCTCTTGCTCAAGTAAGCACACATTTTATTCCAGGGAAGGAAAAAACAAACTCTTGACTTGCTCGACGACTAGTCCAGAGAAAGTCTTGGCGTGGAGACCGCATGAACCAGTGGAAGAAATCTTGAGGTTTTTTTTTTATATAAATGCTTATAGTTTTGGAAGTTTCTTCTTCTTGATACTGATACACGCCTTCTGGATTTTGTCAGCTTTACCATCCCGGAGTCCAATGGTTTCTCCCAGCAATGGACTCCAGACGCGTTCATGTCTTATATTGCCACAAAAGTCTCTCAATGTTCCAAAATTGATCCCGGGGACTTGCGACTGGATGTGACTTCCAGACCGCTACAGTCTGTGGCCTTCTGAAGGTCCTGTTGGAGTGATCAGCTCGAGGCCAGTTGACGCAAGTGATGCGATTTTCCGGCCTGCCGCGTTTGCCCCTCGCGTTTGCCTCTCGGTTGAGGAATTTAGACAGAGAAGGATTGGACGCTCAAACCGGGTTTATGGTTTAGCATCACTTGAGCATTCTTCGTAATAAGCGAGCTTACGTGTTTGGGCTTCTCTCTCTTTTTTTTTTCTCTTGGTTGCTTTATCGTACAAAATCGTCTTCCGATTTATTCTTTCCAGGAACCATCGAGCTCAATTTCGCTTTTCTTTCTATGAAGTTTACGTGACACGTTTATCTTGCGGTTGAACGATTTTTTATTTAAATAACACCTTGACTCCGTATAGTTGAATAAGACGCCTCGAGCATTGACGAGATCCGTGACACGTGACATGACTAAACGTTCTTGCATGAGGTTTTAGTGGTTTTTCTCACTTTGATTTTCCCAGAGGCAGTGTCCAGCGATGGAGGTGGGAGTTACCAGAATCCCAGGAGAGAATTCCAGTGGCCAAGCAGACGACGACGGGGCAAGGTTGTGAGTTTCCACCTTGAGGTTGAACTCTGGAAAAAGAACCTCCTCCACATTGCTCCAGTCCATGAGGAGTTCGGAGATTTCTCCAGTGGCAGCATCACTATCCAGCAAGCTCTCCCCCGATCTTTCATCGTCCGGGGATGGCACTGAGTTTGGTTTCTCATCCTCCAAGGAAGGAGCACTGAGTAGAAGGTCACAGACTTTGGAGCTCCTGGTGGAGAATCTCGTCGGGGGTCGTGAAGAGCTGCTCTTCTGATACATCCGGCACAAGGTGACATCGAATTCCTCCTGGAAAAGAAACACACCCTCTGTGAAAACGAGGCCGAAAGAAGAGGGATAAAAGAACCAACTTTGGCAATGGAGTTTGGATAATCAGTCCAGGGAAGCCTGAATTCGTTCATCACCCAGTTGGTCTTGTTTCCTTTGGGAGCTCGGCCTTGGTAGAAAACCAGAGTCTTCTTCTTGCCAATCCATTTGCCTCTTAAATCGAAGACTTTATGATCGGTTCCAGTGGCTTTCCAGTAGCCGGATCTTGCCACTCGCCTGGGACGCGATCCATCGGGATACTTGCGGTCTCTCGGCACGAAGAAGTAGAACAACTTGGTGTTCTCGCTTGGAATCATATCTAGAAGAAACCAAAGCAGCCTTGAGAATGAGAACCAAGAACATTGCGTATAAACAGGGATACCAGAGAGCTCCCATGGATCGTGATGATAAAAGTCCACATCTAAGATCACGCCCGGGGGGAGATTCAACTTGCCTCGGACCTTGTACTCGAGATAGAAACTGACAAGCTCCTCCTCGGTGGGATTGAATCGAAAGCCGGGAAGATTGAAGTAACAGGAATCGGAAGAATGCCGCATAGCTTTAGCTCCCTATCTTTGCGGTTTTTCTTTTTGAATTTCTTCCAAGGGAGTTGGGTATTTAGCCATGGAGTTCTCTTTCTACGAAGACCACTTTTTTGTCCGTGTCCCGAACGCGGATTGGAGACGTGCTCCGCTATGGTACTCTAAATCTTGAGAAAAATCAAAGACTAGAGTCTTTGGCTGTACAAAAGACTTTTACTAGGATGTTTTAGGGTTGATGCTTGTGCCGTCTTGACCCGGGGGACTGTCCGAAAAGTACCAGAGGGGCGCGCGTCACAAATATCTAAAGCCATGCATCTGGGATTTAAGAGAGGAATTTAGTTGCTAGAACTTTGTACTGCAAGATTAAGATATAAAAAACTCTCGTGCGACAACCAACACTAGTGGATTCCTAGGCATGATCACAGAGAATTGACTTGTATTGACTTATATCTTTGTTGCGAGCGAAGCTTTCAGGTGGCTCCTTGCTAGCAGGAACAGGGCTGTAGGGCCTGACCGAGCTCTTGGACTGGCGACCATAGTGATAGAAAACAAAAACGAAGAAATACGTACTTGGTTCTTGGATCCATTGTCCTTGCAAACATAATACTATTCTTTACAAGAGTAGGACTCTTCCAGTCCACACAAAAGCATGTCTCACGCTGATAAGACTAAAATAGTTTCCAGTCCAGCCTTTGCTTGATTTGATGAGCTTTCTTATTGCAAAGATGTTTTACATTGACCCGAGTGAATGATAATCCACTGGAACAAAATCGGCTTCAACGAAAAGCGTGCTCGATTGTTTGATTTCAGCCACAACCTATTGTATCATATCATATGATAATCTGTGAGTTCACAACGGATTAAAAACTAAAAATGTTTCACCTCTTTATAAGAAGGATGACCATAGAAGTTCTTCACGGCAGATTCTACGAATTGAACAAGAAAGTCAATTTAGACAACGGTAATGCAATGAGAAGTCTTGGATCATACCTGAGGCCAAACGAGCGACAAAAGAATGGGAAAACACAAGATAATCGGGGCGGATCTTGATGTTAGAGCCTAGTTTCTCAAAGAGCGCGAAATTAGTTTCTATTCTCTTGAGGAAGAATGAATTACGTACCAGATGTTACTTGTAATACGGTGGAGGGCATCGCATTAGCTAGATTTTTGAGTTTCGAGATCAAAGATTGAGTTTCGTTTTGCATGACATTCGCTTTGAGCTCGAAGAAACAGACGTGGACGACCTCGCCTTTAAACTTCTGCTTGGTACAAACAAAGAAACAAATAAAAAGAGCTTCCTTTCTAGACAGAATAGAGAATCTTCCCACATACCTTTGCAGGATCTACATGCTCGAGAGGCGAACTGTAATCAACTGAATCCTCACCCTGCATATCCGATGAGAATCAAACAGATAAACAAAAACAAGATACCTTGAGAAACGGCATCATCGGCTGAATGGCGGTCTGGAAGAAATTGCTAGTGTAGTAGTTTTCCAAAGCTTGAGTGGTGAGAAAACGAGAAAAGAGACCATGCGTGTAGCCATTCCCGGGCCTCAAAAGCCGACCTTTTTCAAAGCATTTGATTCAGGGAAGAAAATATAAGATAACAAGGGAGATACCAGTTAAAAGGAGTGTGACATTTGGAATGGTGCCAAGGCTGTTGAGATTGTTGAGAATCAAAGCCTCGCTTTTTGGATCCCTTGCAAGGCCAGGCATCTTGAAGAGCACGGGGTGCTCCACAACATCAACCTCAAAGGACGAAGAAATAAGAGCTGCAAAGAATAAAATCGTTATAGTAGTATTGTTTGCAAACATCCAAGAATAATCGAACAAATGGCCTTACTGGAGAGGGAAAGTAGTACCAGTAGGATTTGAGAGGAACGCTCCATTCCCTTTCGCACGGACGTCTATTCCTAATTTTTCCCAATCCAGGCTATAAAAACAACTCCCTCGCGACCTGAATATGTCGGTGCTGGAAGTTTATTTTGATGCCACCCGTCGTTGCCACTTTGCACGACGCAATAAAAGACAAATCTATTTTTAAAAAAAAAATTTCTATCATCGATACAGTTACTTCCTTCGGATATAACTTGCAGTGATGAGCATAAATATAGAGAAATAGGAACAAAAAAAGAACGGGAAATAAAGATGGAAAAACTGGATCGCTACTCTGTCCACTCCGCGCCAGTCATCTTAACGAAGAATGACAATCGATCGGCAGCCTCGTCAATCTGTGGAGTTGGATCGAAACGAAAAAGTTAGCTTCGAAAGGAGGAGAAGGAAGAACGCGTACCATTTTCTTGGTGGGACGGCCAGCTCCATGCCCGGCCTTTGTGTCGATGCGAGCTACGATTGGATTCGTCTGGTTGCTTGATTTGGAGGATTTGACGAGTACATGCTGCAATGTCTGTGGACTCGATGGTTAGAACTTGGAAGCGCAGAAAAACTTCAACGTACTGCAAGGAGTTTTAGAGTGTGGAGTGGCACAACTCGATCGTCATGGTCTGCGGTTAAGAGCATCGTTGGTGGATACTGAACACCAAGGCCATCAGGCTTCTCCCAGGGTCTCAAAACGTTATGAAGAGGAGAGTATCTAGAATTTGCAAAGAGAGAGCAGTGAGTTCTAGTAGAGTGAGAATGAGGGAGGAGCTTACTTGATCAACCACTTGAACTCCTCTTCTTTCTCAGAGCAGCCATAGTCCGTTGTCCAGGCATGACCTGCGAATCAAGAGAGTAAGACGCGTCCGATGCGTGAGAGAAACTAAAGGAGCTCACCGATTGTAAACTTGTGGAACCTTAGCATGTCCATAACACCTACATGAGCAAGAGCACATCCATAGAGATCAGGCCTCTGCAAACAGTAGGGAGTTTTAGCTCGCAAATTTGATTAAAAGAAAAGGTAGACCTGGTTGATGCATGCCGCTACAAGAAGGCCACCATTGCTTCCTCCCTCGATACCAAGCTTTCTTGGTTGAGTGTAGCCTTCTTTGATCAAATACTCGGAGCATGCTTGGAAATCGTCAAAACAGTTCTGCTTGTTGCCAAGAGAACCAGCTCTGTGCCACTCTTCGCCGTATTCACCACCACCTCTGATGTTAGCAATCGCGAAAATGACCCCGCAGTGCTGAATAAGAACTATCCTTGAAGCACTGAAGGACGGGGTTATGCTGATGTTAAAACCTCCATAGCCATAGAGCAATGCCGGATGTTTGCCATCGAGCGCAATACTTTTCTTGGCAACAATAAACATGGGAACTTTTGTACCGTCTTTGCTGGGGACGAATACCTGCAAAACAAGCGTCAGAGATTTTTAACTCAGTAGTTAAGATTTTGCCTGTTTCGTCTCGAATCTGGTTCTGTCGAAACCTTTCACACTGGTTTCTTTGAAAACAGTAGGCTCCGAGTCCTCGGATAAGTCACAGCGATAGATGACCCCAGGCGTAAGGAAGCTTGTGAAACCATAGAAGATCTCCGCATCTTTTCTTCGTCCAGAAATCCCTGAAACCGTTCCAATATCCAGAGGAAGAGTTCTCAATAGCGTGCCATGTTCCAAATCTCGAACCTCAAGCACATGCTTTACGTCGCTGAGATACGATACTACCAATTGCTGGTGGTTCACACACTGCGCTGAGTCCAAAACATCCTTCGCTGACTCGGCAATAATGTCTGTCCATGTTTCCGGATTCCTGGTGTCCACCCGCGTTACTTTGTATCGTGGCGCATTTTTGTTTGTCCGAAATGTGAAGACATTGCCGTCGTTCGCAATCACCTCATACTTTGCGTCAAACTTATCCACAAGCCTCTCAAACGGTAGCAACTCATCCTTGCCTTTCCATCCCTGTAGTCCATTTGGCAGTGAGTCGAGTTCACAAAGATAAAGCCTGTTTACGGGATCGCATCCTTCTTCGATCGAAAGCACAAGGTACTGAAAAAAAAAGGAGAAGAAAATAAAAACCAAACGAAGAGCAAAAAAAAACACCTCTCACCTTGCCATCATCAGTAACTTCAGCTCCAAACATCCACTTGGGATTGTCAGAGTCTTTCCAGCACAATATGTCTTCCGATTGATCAGTTCCTAGAAAGTGATAGTAAACCTCCTGAGAAAGATTAAGATCTGTTTCAGTTCCAGCATCCGCATCCTTTCTGCGAAACTCGCACATTTAAGACCAATTGCAAGAAAATCCATCAACTTAAAACTTACATGGGAGTCGGATATCGACAATAGAAGAAACCTTTATGATCATGTGTCCAGGCAATACTTGAAAACTTGACCTGGATATACAAACAATTAGACTGGAAGTTGTCACGAGAAGCAAAAGCTCAATTTACCCAGCACAATACGTCAGGCTCGAGAGCCTTAGTAGCAACACGAAGAACCTTGATGGTAACCCAGTCACTACCACTGGCACTCAAACCAAAAGCTAGAAATTCCGCATTTTCACTGAAGGAATAGACTGATAGCGCCACAGTTCCATCCTCGCTAAGTTCATTAGGATCAAGAATAACCTCCGGTTCACCATCCAAGGAATCCTGCGGCACGAAAACTTAAAAACCGGGATACCAAATGATTTCCAAACTACCTGTGCGTACAACACGCTTTGTGGCTGTAGGCCTTTGTTGTGAAAGTAGAAGTATTTGTCTCCCCTTTTGAACGGGCACTCAAACTTGGGGTAGTCGAAGAGCTCGGTGATCTTGTTGTTCATTTTCTGCCGAACATCACAGGACTGCAAAACCGTGTCCATGAGTTTCACTTGCTCGGCTACGAAAGCTTTCACTTCCTCCGCGTCTGGATCCTCCAGCCTGAAAAGAAAGAAGAAAAAAACTGATAAAAGGAAATGGCCAAGAGACAAGAGTACCATCGGTAAGGATCAGCAACACGAACTCCATGGTAATCATCAGCGACGGATTCATCGCGACGAACATCCGGGTAGAACAGCACATCCGTCTCTGCGAGTGATCCCATAGTTCCAACACTCCTGGTGCACAACGCCGGCTTGTTTGACCGAGGCCTTGAGAACAGAGGCTTCAATCCGGAGTGGAAATTCCTCGACACCAATCTGGAAGGAATAGAGATCGGAATCGTCCTGGTGAGAAGGCTCAGCTTGTGCATTCCATGAATCTAGTCAGGAAAAGAAAGAAGAACACCAATCAGGCTTATAGCACACTCCAGTGAGGAAGAAAAGGACACAAATCCAGAATGTAGGACACTGCTACCACACAAAGAGAACTAAAAAAAAAGGATCCAGACAGCGAACACCAGAAAGCTGCCAGAATCTAAAATATGATGAAATTTCCAGACCGGAATCGGACAAGCAGGATCCCAGACCTGGAGAAGAGTCGCGCCGCCAGCCAGCGCCTCGATCGACCGATCCGTGCCACTGCGCGAATAAAACCCTAGGCCGCTCTTTCAATCTAATGCGGCCTTCACATTCCCATGACTGAACGGCCAGGCCACTTTATATAGGAGCGCCCATTCCTCTTGGCCAGTGTACGACAGCTCCAGCATTACGGGGCGGAAAGTCCAGGAGATGGACTGCCACCAGCGCCTGGGCGTTACAAGCCACGGACGGCCGGGATTCGTAACGAGAAGACGATAGCGACACTCCGGGATGTTGGGAGTAGAATATAACTAATGTCCTTCGTCTAATCGTCACTATGGTTTTTTTTAACTCTTCGTGCTCCGGATGCCAAGTTCCACCAAAGCGTCCCACGAGGAGAGAGCTTTTTAAAGTAGAGAATGGCTCCATTTGTGTGGAGAGTGTGTAGTCACTGATAGCGATCGTCACAAACTCGAGAGAATTGGATGTTGTCATGGGTGTCGACACTTTGGTTCCTTTATGTCGACACCCTTGTTACTTCCAATGCGTGCTTAACATGATCTTAGTGCGAATTCCACCACCTTGTCCCGGTAAAATTCCACCCCGGACTAAGAGAGTGGTGTCTCTTTAGAGTGATTTCTTCGTACGGGTTAAGTCCTGCCGATTCTGCGAGAATTGCCTTCGAGTAAAGTATGTAATGCTTACCTCATCTTCCGTGCACGACGAGAGGAGAAACTAGATTGCCTTCGTTTTTGAGAACTTCCTCTTGCTAGCTTTGGTTTACGATCTCCAGGATGGATGCTGTCGCCGCGTCTAGTTTTTGCTGCAAGGAGCTCAAAAGGCTGGCTTTGGTATCGGCTTGAAGACGGCTGTTGGTCATTTCGATTTCCATGTCTCTGCAAGAAAAAAAGTGTTTTTGGATGTGGAGTAGAAGAGATTTCTTACAGGGAAATCCGGTGTAGGATCTGCTGAACTTGGTCTTCCAATCCTTGGAGTTCTCCGTTGGATTCACGACTTGGCTGTTTGATCTTTCGTGGTCCTACATCGACACTGTTCAAGAACAAGAGAGAAGAAAGGTGAAAGACTAGACTACCTTTGGAAGACTCCAAGCGTCTTTTGAGCTCTCTGTTTTCGGCGATCATTCTCGCAATCGACTCCACCAGATTGTCTTCTTCTGAGTTGCTTTCCTCGTCCACGAGCTCCGTCTCCGGAATCACTCGCCGCTCAAAGTCTCGTGATTTCGAGTTTACAAGCTGGTCGAGTCTCGAAGAAAATGACGCGAATGACTCGGACATGTTTGCCTACGTACAATACAAGAAGAAGAAAATGGTAAGCTCGCTCAAGTTTGATTCCAATTACGTACCTGTGAATACTTGATTTCCCGTAAGAGCTCGAGGTGCTCGCAAGTCAGTATTGGACCGGACTGAACAAAAACTCGTGATTCATCGCCAGTGTCCCCAGTACGATTTGGAGCCAACTTGTCGGAATCAAGTTTCGGAGTTTCGTTCCCTTGTTTTGGAGCTGGAGCCGAAAAAAGATGGAGATTTACTGCTGCTCCAGCGCGAGTCATGCGAGCCAGACGGTCAGTCACAGTTTCCACTTTCCCTTCGCTCCCCTCCTCTCCAAAGCTCTGTTGTATGTCATTGGCAGGAACTTCGGGAATTCTTTCCATTTCTTTCGAGCTTTCCATTTCACTCAGCTGCTTCAAGGTTTTCCTCTTGCGGACACGAGCTACCGTTATATCGTATAAAGCCGCCAGCGAGTCCTGAATGAAACGAGATAAGAAAAACCAATCGAAGTTCGATGAGCTCAATCAAAGTGAACCTCGTCGTCATGATCCTTGAACATCAGAAGCCTTCTCCCTCCTTTTAGCATTCCTCGGATTCCATCTTCCAGTCCTGGACAAAGAAACTTTCCATGGAAAATTGACGAAGAAACAATCAATTCTTACCTGTGAAGTTTTTCGAACCGATTTCAAGTCTGATAGTTTTCTCTGGCACAAAAAACCCAGATTACACACGAGATTTTTCAAAGCAAACCTGGAGTGTCTCCATGAAAAACTAGCCCAGTGGAACACTCATTCCACGGTTTTGCAAGGAACACTTTACAAAGCACTTGCACCTAGATCACAAGAATTCAAGCAGCCGGAGCAAAGTATAAAAGAGGAAAAAATAGTGATACTCACCACATCGCCATCTTCGATCTCCCTGAAATTGTCTTTTGGACATACCACATCCTGAAAAAAAATCCATCAATCATACAGACTTCGATTGAAAGTGAAAGCGATACCTGGAAGACTTGTGCCACAGAGTGTTGTACGTGATAGCGAGCGTAAACAAAAACCTTAGCAAACTCCATCCATGTATCTGTGCTGGAGTACAAAAGCTAAGTTACAGATTATCATGTTGTCGCAAGCTTCTACTGAGAAGAAATAGAGAAAGAGGCCGACCTGCGAAATGTCGCTTCCACAATATGTTGGCTGGTCTCAATGGCAATCCGGCAATTTGCGTCGGGCTGCAGTGGAAGAAACGAATGGAAGATCTCATGGAAAAGGAACGAACACGAGGAAAGGGGCTGTCTACAAACCACTATATTTATAATTCCCGTGAAAGACACCTCCGCAACGACAATCTTGGCAGCGTTGGATACGACAATGCGTGAGTCCTGCAAAGGTAAAATGAAAAAGAGATGGCCAGAGGATTTAGAGTGTGGTTCTAAAACCTGTTGGTCGTGCGTCTCTGTTTTTATGATTTGAATGGTAGCATCGCCAACATTTTCTTGTCGACGACCTATTTGGACGCAATCAGTCCCTGCATGGAACAAGAAGAGATTCAAGAACTGTAAAAAATCGACATGATTCTCACCTGATGGAAGCATGAAAACAACGTTGGAAAGTTCTGTGGAGAAGAGGACCTGGAAAAGAAACACAAGCACAAATCAGTAGCTCAAAGTACCAGAAAAGAATCAGACCTGGCTAGAAAACGATGGTGCAAACGACACACGGGGCTGCAGCTTTGGAGGCTGATATTGAAAACTTGGATTGCCAACCTGACACGAAGAACAAAAACAGAAAAAACCTGTTTTTCGTAACTTAAGAGCAAAAAAAAAAATTCTTTACCTGAAGCTTCTGCTGCTCGGTCTCAAACAGCGCTTTGAGCTTCGATGCGCTGCAGCTCCTGCATTTTTCAAGTGCTTGGTTAGACTAAAACATAAAAATGACACTGGTGCTGCGAATCGCTTATACCCATCAGCTTCGTCCTCCATCACTTGCAAAAAACCCTAGCCTTGTTCATCCTGGTGTTTTCTATTGCCAAAAACTCTCAAATGCATGGATTTTTGTAAATCATTGTTTTCGTGTAAGTAAAGCTATCTCCTTTCTCAATGTTTATACTCTTGGTTAACCAGGTTTTGTTGGTTTGAAATTCAGAATATGTATATAATGTTTTTACATAAAATGAATTATAACTAAAAAGTGTTATATAAGATTATATTTTATTTATCAAGGAACTTTTAAACAAAAATATAAACTATGAGTGCATGGAATATGGGAAGGGAATACAGAAAATGTGAATATTAATTAACCCAAACTTATATATAAGAGCGAGTGGTCCAGATTTAAATCAATTTGATGTCAAATCCCACTATGCTAATATTAATATATGGCATTGTAACTATACACTTAGCCCTCACATCATTCCCTCCTCTCAAAATAATGAAAGACTATTAGAGTTCTTTTGTAAATGGGCCGAGATCTGGAAGAACATCAAGAGGAGGCATTAGCAGATCTGTAAGTGGTATTAATTGTTCATGATCCCTTTGTATAAAGCGTTTCAACCGTTGCACATGCACAATCTCTAGAGGATCGATTTGTTTGACATCATGTTGAACCTCATAAACTTGTGTCCAACTTGCTGCAACGCTCGATATGGTCTTTTTCATTGAACAAGGAGCCCCTTAGACAAACTATATACCGTAAAATAGGGAAAACAGACTAACACCAAATCATCCACTTTATACTCCACAAGTGAACGATGATGGAAGTTGTAGTGTCATTGTTGTCCTACTTGTACATGACCTAAGTGTTCGGTAAACTCTGCTTGGACAAGTGGAAGAATGCTTGTCAAATACAAATCCCATGACCTAGTATCAGCAATTTATGGCAATCGCAGGTAAACCCAACTTCTTTAGTAATATTGGATTATAACCATATAAGAGTTTATATGGTGAAGCACTAACAGAACTCTACACCTTTGTGACATATGCATACCAAAGAGATGGCAAATAACCATCCCAATCAGAATGCTGAAAATTCACATATTTCGTGATCATCCTTTTGAACGTGAGAACAAGCCATTCCACCAGACTTTCTGATTGTGGATGATAAACACTTGTGAAAATGTGGCGTATCCCCAACCGAGACATCAAAACGTGAAATGCCTCAGCTATAAATATGGGACCATTATCCAAAAGAATCTGTTCTAGACAAGAATGCTGAAACACCACTCGATTGAGGAGGAAGTCATTGCCAACAGTCAATTGTGAAAAAGGTCCTATATGCCCACATAGAATAGGAGAATCATGATAAGTATAGAAAAACCGCAGAATAAAAACAGAAGGCACTACCAGCTGTAAATGACCATCAGGATCCGTCCTCACAAAATAAAAAAGGTTGTATTTAAAGCAATATTGAGAATGTAAATGCCGGAAAGGCAAGTTATTAGCAAGTGATGCAGGATTCTCAAACCCATTTCGAAGTCTTCAAATCCACGGTTTAATTTTCTTAAAGAGAAGGTAGATCTTGCTCTGTGCCTTGTGGACACTGAACGTCAAGTACAGCAACCACTAGCAGCATAGAATCCTCATCTAGAAAATCCTTAGATGCTAGAATAACAAACTCGTCAAAAACATGAGAAGAGAGTGGAGAAGGAAAAGGAGCTCGAGAAAGGGCATTAGCATCAGCCATAGAACTCCTTAGGCAATGAACAACATCAAAATTATAGTTTATTGAGCGTAATGTGCTGTTGAGATGGTTGTTACAAAGCCAAAGACATTGTTCTTTGACAACCAATGGACAGAAATGTAGAAGACGAATAGGTAAACAATTTGAGAGATAGTAAGAACTCAAACGATTTCAACAAATGAACTACATGCAAATAAGCATTGATTGCTTTTATTAAAAAAATAAAAACAGTTTTCAAGGCTTTAAGTTTTTGAAACAATTTTGCACCCTAACGTGCTTTTGTTTTTAAGTGACGTAGCCACTGTAGAGCTGACTTTGCGTGTTTGTTTTTTAAGTGTCGTATATATAATTTTTTATTTTAAATAGTAAATATTTTATTTTCTCATAAAAGTATTACAAATTTACTAAACACAACTATATAATAAAATTCTGTGAATAAATATAGACAAATGTAAAGCCAGAAAAGATTTGATACTGAGAATCATGAGCTTTAACATTAATTGAGCAAAAACATTAATTATAAAAAATATAATTCATCAAAATGAAAGACAAGGTAACACTAAGAAGAAAAATATTAAATACATTTTTAAGGTAATAGAAAAATAATATATTTCTTTTAAAGTTCTGAATCCTAGACTACAATTACAAACCTTATAAACAACTATTTCCCATAAAAACACCATTAAATAGTTTATTTCCTGTTGGAAGAAACAGAATATTCAAATTCAATTACTCAAATCCTACTATAAATTACCATGTTAAAGTTAGTAATTTAAATAGCTTTCCCTTATTATATCTGAGTACCAAGTTCTTCTTTAACTTCAAGAACCTATTCTTATTTACAAATATAATATGAAATATTCTAACAATAATAATAGGTGATTTCAATAAGTGAAGAGTCAAGAGTTAAGAAAACTTATGTAAAGAATTTGATATATCCAATAAATAAAATATGAAATATGAAATAACAATCATATATGGATAATAATTATTAATTGCACAAAAACAAAAACATAGACTATGAAACAGTTTATATTTATATAGAGAAAATATAAAAAATTAAAGCAACCAAATTATTCTTTATTCCATCTCGTTCTTAATTAGTGAAGTAAGAAAATTAGCATTAAATTTGATTGCAAATGAATTAGAGAAGAGATTAACAAGAGGAAGCCACAACATGCTTGGATATTTTAAGTATATTCTTTACACCTTGTTTTCTAAAGCAAACAGAAGTTTTTCTACTGTTTTATTACATTTTTTAGCTATAATTTATTTGTTGTTCTTTTTCCATTTTATGAAACACAGTTTTATAGCTATAATCACATGATAATTCTTCTTTTTGACATATTTATTTATTTTATTATAGTTTTCCTTTTTATCGGACCTCGCCATGCAGCCTTAGACGAGTAGAACGATCGAGCAGAGGCATGATGAGGTTTTTTCATTGCTAAGAGAAAACTTTGCTCTCAGACGAATGAGATGCTGTCTTTTAATTTCAAATCATCAGTCAATCAAACACCCCGTCTGGAGATCCGTTCTTCGAGCGTCGTTGCACACAGCTTGTGTAGCAGCCTGGCATCGTCCAAGAACCTGCGTGTTCTCCGGAGAAGTTTTGCGACTGTGCCTGGAGAGGCCTGGGCTAGTTGATGAGAGCGTTGAAGACCATAACTTGCGAGACGAGGCCGCTCTCGACTGCCAAACAGTGGATCATTCAGTGCCGGCGCGACTTTCGAGCAGTATGACCCTGTCCGGTAAGCCTGGAGCAGCATGACGCTCAGCGTAATTATGCTTCTCCTCAGACCCACAGCCTACAAGCAAAGCCACTGACTAAAGGAAAAATAAAAGAGAGATCTTACCACCAGCTTGGTTGAATCTGCCTCGTCACTATGGCTTTGGATGCCCCAGATTAGAGGCGCTCCCGCTGAGTTATGTTGCTCGATCGGCCTTGAAGGTAAGGGAGCTTCTTGAATTTTTCGTGTGAACAATCAGCTGGTGGAGATCCAGAGAAGTAGACAATGAATGTACCAGAGACCACACCATTGCCGCAGACGTGATGGTGATCAAACCCGAGACTCTGGCTGCCATGACCCCAGAGGTGGAATCTTTTCTGCGAGCACAAGTAAGCCTCGAAAGGAAAAAGAAACAAGGATTATGATAACCTCTCGGCATCAGAAGTCAGAAGCAAAATGTCTCGGTTCAAAGCTTTTGCTTGCAACGGTGAAAGCTTCTGCGCAATTGAATCCCGTAATGAACAGGAAAGTTAGTTCCTACACATTCACTGCTAGCAATAACAGTCTCACCGTGGTTAAATCCTCCGTGATAAGACCGTGGAAATGTGATCACAAAGTTTCCAGACTCCTAAAAACAAACATGAATATAAAGATAAAGCACTGCCAACACAAACTTACCTGCAAAGTTGTGCAGACAGGCACACCTTTAGCCCGCAACACAGCTGGATTAAGCATCGTAACCAGTTGAAAGGGCATGTCCGGCTGTGCATGAAATAAATCTGGGAATGCAGATCGCATAGCCTGTCTGAAAGAAAGAAGTTTTACACTGCCAACTAAAAGAGAAACATTCTACCTCTTCAAATGCGTCGTAAGCACTGCCAGGCACACTATACCAGCATCTGCAGGAAAGAAATCAGTATTGAAAGCACACGAAACAAGTAGCATACCAGTGAAGATAATTCACAGAGTAGAAGCAATGATCTTCGTAATGCCAGCAAAACGAGGAGAAGAGCATATCCTGCTTAGCCCACTTTGGAACTGCATTCGACGGACGGGGAAATTCACTTCCATACACAGAGACGTATCGAGATCGCTTCCATATAGCACTTCAATAGGTCCTGTAGACGTCGGAAAGAGTCCAGCATGTGCCAGTTGCCTTGAGAAAACGTCGAGGCAGTACCACCTCCCAGAGAGCATTTTCGACAGAGGAGGGGACAGGCAATACATATGCCACGCCCGGTCACAGGTGATCATAAGCTGCTCATGTGCTCCGCTGCGGCATTGCTCACAGGACTGGTCCCCAAGCCTTTGCTGCATGGAGCTTCATCGTCCGATTTAGTTCGTTTCGCGGCTCCACCGACACACTGACTTCATCTTCACCCAGAGATCTCTTCCTCCGAATCTTCACGTCCAGTACTTCACCATTCCTGACGTTGTTAGTTGCCTGCTTCCCGAAGCCTTCTGCATGATGGCGCTCATATTCCAGCAGATGTTTCTCGTATAGGTGGCACAGGTTCGCAGGAGCGGCAGTAGGAAAGGAGGCACTTACGTCCGGCTTCTTTCCCCCACTTCCGCTGCACGATAACCTTCTCATAGCCTCCATACCTCTTGACGCAGTTGTAAGCCGTAAGCCTTGCAAAGGTCGAGCAAAACTGACGCCAGCTCTCAAGAACCCGCCCCTGTTACTCGAGGAACCTGTCGTACTCGAAGCGAAAGGTGTAAGGCCGGCAACCTCTCCTGGAGCCTGAAGCTTGGTCGGGAAGGAGAAAGGCTGGAGATATAGAGCGAACGGAAAACTTTGAAGGAACTATCCGCCCGTACGAGAAAGCTTTGCAGCCACTGGCGATGGCGGGGACCATCACCGCTACCAGTTTGGATCGCAAGCATGCTGGCGATGGCAGCACTGGGAACAAGCCGCGATAGACACGATTCGACACGCTTGCTCGATCTCCCCTTGCTTGCAGCAGTGGCGGACGAGAAGAGCGTAAGTCACAGCGTCGGGCCAGCACTCGCGCCTCTCTCGCATCTCCCCCCAAAACTTTGCCACCGCCTCCTCCGATCGCCCGTCGCAGCACAAGCATCCCAGCAGCGCGTTGAACGAGAGTGTCTGGAGCACCCGCTGTGGAGGAGCTCACCGAAAACTCGATAGCCGTCGGCCGATCGTGCTCGCCCAAGTAGCCGTCGAGCAGCGTGTTGTAAGTCACCCGCATTCAATCCCTTCCACCTTCATGCTCCGATAAACATCTCCCGCGGCTTCCATGTCTCCAGACTTGGCCAAGGCATTGAGGACCATGTTGAAAGGCAGCGTCGACCCCTTGCTTTCGATCGTCTGCTTGACGAGGCCGAGAGCTTCGTGTGACCGCTGTTGCTTCGGAGATGAGGATCGTAAAGGTGACCGCGTCGGGGTGGCAACCATGCCGGCTCATCTCTTGGAAGAGCTGCTTGCTCGCCTCCAACCTTCCGAGCTTGGCTACCACCTCTCCAGCTTTGCAGACCACTCACCACCGACAGGGACAAGGCTCTCTTGCTGTCCCCGCTCGGTGCGCCCCCCGCCGGATACTCGATTGTATCGGCCGGCCCTCCCCGGACCGGGCCATCGATGATCGTGTTGAAAGTGAACTCGTCCGGAGCAACGCCACATTCGTCCTCGATACGCCTCACCACCGCGTCCGCCTCACCAACTTTGTTTCCTTGCACAAGCCGTGGATCATGATGTTGAAAGTTTTCAAGTTTGGCTTCCGCTCATCATCTTCTCGAACAGCCTCGATGCATCCCCTCCTTCAAGTGGCCGCTTATCAGTGCAGCACAACGTCCGGGACACACCCGACCTTGTCCATGACCGCGAGCACGTTCTCGGCGTCGACAGTCCGCTTGGCTTTGCACAAACCGTCCACGATAAGCCCGAAAGTTAGCTCGTTTGGAGACACACCATCTCGTCGACAAGGTCCAGAGCTTCCTTGAACATCCCAGCTTTAGACAGGGACTGGATCACGGTGTTGAAAGTGAAGATGTTCGGGACGCGGCCCTTGGCTTTCATCTCTCGAAACAGCTCCATTGCTCCTTCGTTTTGTCATCGCTGCTTGGAGCAGCGATGACAATGTTGTAGGACATGGAGCTGGGCACTTTCATCTCTCGAAACACGGCCATAGCGTGGTCGTACTTTCCAGCCTTGCACAGGCCACCTATGAGAAGCTCGTGCCGCACAGGGGCTTCTCGGTCTCGCAGTGCCACCGAGAGCTTCTGGCAAGCCTCTTGGATCCTGCCGGCCTTGCAAAGCCCGTGGAGAAGAACGTTCTACGTGAAAGCGTCAGCCTTGAAGAAGCTCCGGCTCATCTTCTCGTAGAGCTTCATGGCGTCCATCATGCCATGGACGAGCTCCGCCGCGTCGTCCACGAGACCGGCCTTAGCGAGTCCACCACGTCTTGACATCCAGAGTTGCGATGCTCTGCATCGCCTTGAAGAGCTCCAGAGCTCGCTCCATGCGTCCCTCTCAACAATGAGCCAGCACGAGAATCCGGTAGCTGATGTCGTCGGGATTGCATCTGTTGGCTCTCGCGGTCTGGAAGAACTCGTAAGCCTCATCGCATTTGCCGGCCACGCGAAAGGGACTGAGGATGGAGTTGCAAGTCACCAGGTCCGAGCAGAAGCTACCGCCGGTGATGATGGGAGCTCTTCCTCCAGTTCGCCTTGCATACCCAAATTCCCGGTCAAGACTTATAGCAGCGCAGCTCCATTCGAGAAATTTCCGTTCAAGCCCTAGAATAAATTGAGAATATTCTAAATTCAAATTTTGTCTTGTTTGACCCATCATCACCAGAGTGTGATGTATAACAGAATGGCCTTGGCCTTGGGAATCCAGGGGTTCTAGAGCTGAGGAAACTTCGCTACCATGGTTACCAATGTCTTGTATCTTTGTTGGAGGACTGCCAATGCTGAGGACGAAGGAGGAGGTTGAGCCCAAGGTGCGAGAAGCATTCGAGCGATTTGGGCACATCTTGGATCTGCAGGTATGAGCTCGAAACTCTTTTCTTTGCCATCAGGGCGCGCGCTGCCGTGTTTTCTTACTTTGAATCTATTTATTCTTTTGTTTTCCAGATCCTGATGGGTCCTTCTTCTTCTTCGAATGCCCACACCACGCTCGGCTTCGGATACATTATCTATCGAGATCGGCGAGAGGCTCAGACAGCTATCAGCGAGATGGACGGGTGTGTTTTGTTCGATCGAGAGATCGTGGTCGACCGGACGGATCGTGGATATAGCCGTGGCAGTACGTTTGCCCCCGGCCATCCCTAGTAGGGAGTTTTTACTTGGACATGGAGACCAGAAGTGTATTCTTGTTGTTTCAATTCTTGTTGATCTATAACAGCACTGTCTTCCTAAACATTCTTTTATGCAGCATTGTCCTCTAAACATTCTTCTATGCAGGGCCATCACACAAGGGCTGGCTTGATTGTGCCGGCTTGATTGACAGCAGGGAAACTTTTTAGAAGTCTGATAACAGGTTTGTCCTGCCTAGGAGAGCAAATGCACACTGCAGGCCAAAGAGTGGATACAGAAACATAAACTAGCACCTTACCAGTCCCACGGTGTTTTGGAGGATCCTATATCAGACTCATCTCACTCGTCCATAACTGTCAGTTGAAACAATTGGCAAACCTGGTAAATCAATAATGAGATCAGTTGAGATAGGAACATCACAGACAGCCACTAGACTAGAACTAGCCATTGTTCCTTCGAGCTGTTGGTATCCATCAGCGTGTACATGCGGAGACACAATTTAGTTTTGCAAGCACCGAATTCAAAAGAACTTGTTCTTACGCAATTGCCAATGTCAGAAGAAGAGCTCTTTCCGGCCTTCTGATAGTTGAGGTTGCCGTTAAGGTCCCATTGCACAATACAGCACATCTGGAGTAAGGTTTTACCTGTATTGCCAAGTTGAAACACAAAAAAGAACAAGAATATTTAGAATTTACCAGCTGCTGTTGTGAGGCTCACGGCCACTGAGCCAGGTATTCCACTTGCGACGCTAGGATTTGTCGATGACTACACTACAAGAAAAAGATAGATAAGCAAAAACATAATCAGCTGGCAAAATTTTCTCCTACTGAACCTTTTAGCTGGTACTCTTGTGAAGATCCTGGGCTCCAAGGAAGAAATACAGTGCCCGCACTTATTTTGCATCTTCCAAGTCGCGAAAAAAAGTGAGTTCAACCAGAAGTCCATGAAAACAAAAAACATACATACCTGATAAAACGTTCGAGTGAGGTTTCGCCTCGGCAACAGTCGAGACCAAAGTATCCTCGAGCCCTTCCATTCTCGGTTCCACTATATTCCGGCTTTCTTGTCCACCACTCACTCATCAAACAACGTATAAATCAGATCCAATCCTGAAAAACACAAAAACACGAGAAAAGATTACGAGAATTGTACAGCCCAAGTCTGTACCTTGTCCTCCAACTGTATTTGCGTATCAATGTCTGCAGGGACTGTCTTTGAGAGGAACGTATGTTTGTCGCAGCCACCATCGGTTGAAAGATGCTTCCTCAAAAATTGCTACATTGCCTGGAACAAATAAATCGATCGCAAACTAAAGAATATCTAAATAAAACATTTTAAGCTACGATGAAAAGAAAAAAGAAAAAACTAGATCGAGTACGGAATGGAGTTACCTGAAGGTGTGTCGATGACAGAAAAGCCTCCAGCAAGGTGACAAATGGAAACGTTCGACAGTGTATGCTGCCAGCCGCTTAAGCTCACTGCAAAGGAAAAATACTCCCAGATGATAGAAAGACGAGAGTAAACATCTTGTGTGCCAGGTCATGCATAATTGACACGATCTCCAATATGCATAACTGGATTACGTGTCGAGACACATGCCCCCACAAAAACCTGGAGAAATTCTGTTAAAAGCAGAAAAGCTATATCACTCACTGTACCAGGACGTAATCCGCAATGCCGATGTTCTGCTTTCTGATATACAGGCTATGAGAATGATCGTTAGCATTCGAAAGTAAAGAGAAGCATTAGCTGCACAACAATTGTTAGAGTCGTTAGAAGCCTTCCCAAAGGGAGGAATATTTTAGTACCTATATTGTCGCGCGCATTAACAGTAAAACCCCAACAGAGAGTTTGGTCTTTTGCGCCACCTGCGTAAACAACGACTAAGCGCAAAAGAAATTAAAAAATCAGATATGTACCTCTGCAACCCTCACACACACAGCAATCTCCGAACGGGCAGCTTCTCTGTCTTTTGCATGGATACAGCCAGCGTCCATACTGTCAGCTGTTTTAAGAAGTCCATCATCTATACTAAATATGTCGCTACCGTCGTCAGACAGATCCGAAATAACAGGCAGGCTTGGGAAGTCGTCGAAATAGAGATCTATGACCAGGAGGTAATACAGAATGTTAATGACAGAAAAAGAAAGAGCAGAGTTAGAATTTACCAGCCCGACTTCAACCAACAGACATGCGAATTACTGGTTGCTCAAAAAGGTTTCGAGGCGCGTTCACACTTGCGACCATACACAGTCGCCGGATATATCTCCGCAGCCTACAAGAAAAAAATAAGCAAAAACATGATAAGTTAGTAAAACTTTCTAATACAGAGCCTCCTCTGGCTTTTAACTTTCTGTGAGAGTGACTGGGTTCCAGTCCAAGAATGAAATACAGGGCCGGCACTTATCCAGTGTTATCAGAGCAGGGGACAACAACTGCTTGCTGAAGCTTCGGCACCTGCAATTAATGCAACAGGAGAAGTCACCTTCGCATCATAGACAAGTTTAGCTACAAAGGTTACCTTCAGCAGCGTCGCATTTTGCCAACATCTTCGGGAAGTTCCAAAGCTTACGTGAGTCAAATCGGTACTCTGTTGCATACAAAACTTAGTAAATAAAGAAGAAGGATGTTTTACGACCGGGGCGCGAGTAAAGTCAAGAGCTGTACTTACTCTGACGTCGTCGGCAATGCCATTCGCCAGAGCCAAAACTTTTGCAGCAATAAGAGCGCTGTGTTTGTCAACGGAAGCAATCGCCTCGTACTTATAATCTGCCGAAGGCAATAGAATCTCTGTCGCGAAAACACGTGAGTTCAACCAGAAGTCCGTGGAAATGGAAAACGTCCTTCAACTCGAACCAAAAGCTCGCTCCTACCTGGAATAATGCCCCGCCAACAAGCTCTTCCCTTCTCGGTTTCACAAGTCTTCTCTCCTGTCCTTCAGTTTTCGAAAAACGTATAAATCAAAGATCCTCCAAAGCCCAGAAAAACACACAAACGCAAGAAAAGAAGAGAAATAAGTGTGTACGTTGTCCTCCAATTTATGTCTCCGCACATAGAGGCACAGAAGAGGACCCTGTAGCAAGTTTTGAGGTCCCACCTCCAATATGCATTGGAGAAATTCTGTTAAAAGCGTACAATGGTGAAATATTGGTCAAACTCCTGTGACATACCTCTGCTTTCACTGCAAGTCCTAGCTCGGCTGCAATCTTTCAGCCGCGCTGGGGGCAGCTATAGCGGCTGCTGCCAACTGACCGACACCTAGTTCAGCGTTGTAATCTAGCATAACATGAGAGCTGGTTAGCATTGACAGGAGAATCAGGATTTATGATAACCTCTTGTTTTCCTGCGGCAGCGATCTCGGCTGTATGCCCCTCGACCTGATACATCAGAAGTCAGAAACAAACAAACAAGTGAATCCGAACGAACTACATACATTTCCCGAAACAATTACATGTCTGGTTCATGGATGCATGCCTTTTTAACTGCCTCACCTTCTTATCTGGCAAGAGAGACTTCCATCCCAACGCTGAATATCCAAAACGAACCTACTTTGTCTTTGTAGACGAATGAACAGGGCTTTAACAACTGCACGTGGGAAGATATGAGATCATACAAAAGAACAAACTCATACTTTGTAGGTCTTCGTTGTGATCCTGTGAAGCCGTTTAAGAATAGACAGGAAGTAGAATAAAAGAAAAGCCTTTAGAGTTCCATGAACTCTAAATTCAAACCAAGGAAAGAGCCAAGGAATGAAGAGTTCATCCAAAACTTCGGTTATCTGGACGAGAACTTGGAAGCTCAGGTTTTTTCTCAGAGAAGTGGATTTATACTCGCAATCCCAAGTGTTGGCAACGTGTTTCGTGGGCTCAGTACTGCCAGGTACTTTCTCCTCAAGCTTTTCTTCCGGTGATTTTTCCATGCTGATAATAATGAGACCTTCACTCCATGACTTCAGTTGTAAAAAGCCAAACTACTAAAGTATGGTTACTTGGTTGGGGTCCAGACGGTGAGCACCGAAGAAACCTTCGCTGCTTGTCTCGTGCTCCGCGACAAGAGTTCCTCCAGGCTCGATTCCAATTTTTGTTTTCCATCTCGCACTTTGGAAAGTACTTGGGTGGCTTGTCTCGGTATCCCAGCCGGTTCTTCCGACAAGTTAAATACTCCAAAGAGTTTGCGTTCGTGTGCTTGATCTTGTAAAGGAAAAAGCCAGGAACAAAGATTGAGTTTTTGAGTTGAAGAATCAAAACGAAAGTGGGAATTTCTCTCCAGAGCCATGGAAGGATACGAAGCTATCATCCTTTAAACACCGAGGTTTCATCACTGGCGGCGTCGCTTTCACCGTCACCTTCACCATGAAAGCTTGTCACTGGCTGAAATCTTTCACCCGTCATGGCCGTTTCTACGGACCATCACCATCACCACCACTTGTTGGAAGCACGATGTTTACTTATCTCAAGCGAGTCGGGCTCTCGAGCTCATGGAGGAGCTTCAGCTGTGTCCAGCAATGTCTTTCCGGTACCTGAGAAGAACGATATTTCCTCTGCAAGCTGCGATCTTGCTTGTACTTCTTTTCGGCCCCGATGCCGTGACAACGCAGGTCGTTTTGTTGAGGCTGGTCTCGATGTCTTCGTATTTCTGCGACGAAACTGGTACCAAAAAGAAAACTTTTAGAAGAGTATGAACGACGAACAGTAATCCGAAAGCGAAAAAAGCGTAAGAAATCTAGCAACGAAGAGAAAGAAACTTCTACACACAAAATCAGAAAACTACCACAAAAACAATGACAATCCATCTACGCAGCGAATGGATGTGATCAGCCAACACAAACTACGTGGCACATAATGGTTTCGCTGGGATTTAGTGGGACTTGAAATACCCTAGCCCTAATCTCGGAGGGAATGGGGCATGGTTCGCGTCGCAGCAGCAGGGTCGATCCGGACTTTGACGACTGGCGCTCAGGCAAGCACTCTTATTCGCAGTCAGACCATCCTAGCACACGCAGGAGGGCCAGCCGCAGGCGCCGTAGGGACGACGATAGGCATAGCAGCAGTCCCAGGCGCAGGACTAACAGCAGGAGTGACGATGGAATGGATCCCAGGCCCAGGACCAAGGAGCCTAGCAGCAGGGACAACGATGGAATGGATCCCAGGGAGCCTAGCAGCAGGATGGATGCCAAGAGGTCACGCTCCCCTGAGCGCAGGCCTAGCGGCAGCAAGCGTCCTTGCATGGAGGAGAAAGCCACTCGTCCATGCACAGAGGAGGTGGAGGACGAAGCCATTGCCGGCTGGGCCCCCATTCCAGGCAAGATCCACCCGGCGATCGGACTCAATGAGGTGGAAGCCAAGAAATATGGCTTCTTTCCAGCTCGTGAGAAGGACACTCTTCTAGACGAGGATGGAATGAAGAGTGACCTCTTCTACTGTGACAAGGCTGCCTACCAGGTGTTCAACGACGCCCGTCTCCGAGGAACTGAGCTGGGCGCATGGGTGGAAAAGCGTCTCGGCCTGGGTGTTTTGTTCGTACACCACAATTACGACAACTTACCGGGCTGGAGGGTGATCACATTGTTTGGGCGACACAAGGCAGCGTTGCCAACCCGAGGAAAGAAGGTGATGTTTACAAGTGTTTACTCGGAAGGTTTGTACCGGCTGATTATTCTTTTACTTGCAGATTATTCCTGAATGGCTCAAGGTCCATGGCGAGCAGGATGATGCTGAGTGTGTAGCGTCGGCTATGCTGTTTGCAGAAGCAGCCACTGGTTTAGACGTGAAGGGCTGCTCCTTGAACAAAGTTTTCGTGTCTGGCAACACCAAGTTTGTGGAGCTGCTCAGGAAAGACTACGCTGGTTTGCAGGAGCTTTTTGTGCAGCGCTTGGCAGTGGACAGGCCTCGTCACGTTCCATTCCGGGTGTGGCACGTAACGAGCCAGAGCTGCTCTCAAGCCGAGGAAGAATGCTTCAACGAATCGAGGCGAGGCTTCTCGTATCAGGGGGAAGGCTGGGCGTGTCTGAGGGGGATTGGAGTGCCATCTACAGTGCCTGCGTGGAAAGCTGCCGTTAGAAGTTTTCTGGAGCGCCGCAAATAAATTTTAGCTGCACTTGCAAGATCGACAATAAAGTTGAATAAAGGTTTGTCTAAAGAAAAAGACTCTTCTGCAATCCTTTTGATCTTTTAGCTCGTCAACGCCTGAAAAATTCGTGTCCACTTACAAATGCCAAAACAAAAAACAAAGCAGACTGTAAGGACTACCGCGTTGCACCTCTCGGTTGTTAGTAGCGAAAAAAAAAGAGCTTTTTCTTGCAGACCTGTGCGATGTTTATCACATGACGAATCTCTAACTCATTGTATTCATGGAAAGCTCGGATGAGAGGCAAAAGCTGCCGACGAAAGGAATCAATCTGCTCAGCGTGCTACGCATGGGAACTCTTTGATCCATCTCTCGATGTTTTCCATTACCTGCACCAGTCGAATAAGAAAAAAAAGAAAATCGAACCGAAAATATCTTCGCTTCTCTCTTCCGAAATACCTGGAGGGAGAATATGCGTAGTAAATTCGATGAGCTCCTTGAATCGACCTTTGCGCCGCAAGACATAGTGACGCTGGTAGCATCTTGTGCTCAGACGATCTGACCTCCGCCTTGCCTTGTTCTTCAACCCCATTCAGAGCGATCTCTTCTTCTGCGACAGGGCTGCGCAGATACCAGGTGTTCAACGATGCTCGTCTTCGAGGAACTGAGCTGGGCGCTTGGGTGGAAAACCGTCTCCGCCTCGGTGTCTTGTTTGCACACTACAACTACGACAAGGTGCCGGGCTGGAGGGTAATTACACTGTTTGGGCAACACAAGGCAGCCTTGCCAACCCAAGGAAAGCATGTAATTTTAAAAGTGTTTAGTTTCTACTTCCTGATTATTAGTTTCCTCACAGGTATTCCCGAATGGCTCAAGGTGCATGGCGAGCAGGATGATGCTGAGTGTGTAGCGTCGGCTATGCTGTTTGCAGAAGCAGCCACTGGTTTAGACGTGAAGGGTTTCTCCTCGACCAAAGTTTTCCTGTCTGGCAACACCTAGTTTATGGAGCTGCTCAGGAAAGACTACTCAGCTTCCAGAGAGCCGTAGCAGCAGGAATCCCAAGCACAGGCGTAGCGGCAGGGCCAGGTAGCAGCAAGGAGCCTTATAGCAGCAGGATGGATGCCTATAGCTCGCGCAGGTCCCCTGAGCGCAGGCCTAGAAGGCGTCCTTGCATGGAGGAGGAAGCCACTCCTCCATGTCCTCCTCCATGCACGGAGGAGGAGGACAAAGCCATTGCCGGGCAGGGGAGCACGTCACAGGGCGGCGCGACTAGAAGAACTTATATTGAAGTGTAGAAAAAGATACAGTTTCCTCCGCTAACCAGAAGCAATCATGGATCAGATGCGCACCACCATTCCGCTGTGTGTAACCGTAAGTCACGTAGAGTCTTGGCTGTTATCACTTCTTTTCAAATTCCAACACTCCTCTCAGCCGAGACGTCACACCTTTTCTTTTCTTTTCTTTTTTTTTTATATTATTTTGCTTCGTCCTGCACCATACCAAGCATCCCATGTAACCTCACAAAGTTTCACTTCTCCAAAGGTTTTGTGAACACATCAGCAATCATGTTGTCACTGCAAATATGAACAGGTTTGATCTGCAACCTACTGGATTATGAGCCACATGAATTGCAGAACTATTATCACAAAATATTACTGTAGCTTCAGGTTGTGTAGTTCCAATATCAAACAAGAGTTTCCTAAGCCAAAGAGCTTCTTTTGTAGCGGATGCCAAGGCCATATATTCTGCTTCACAAGTAGATTGAGCTACCATTTTTTGTTTCTTGCTGCTCCATGTTACTACTCCCCTGGCAATCCTAAAACACCAGCCTGTTGATCTACGATCATTCAATATCCCCAATATAATCAGCATCTGTGCAGCCGACTAAACCAACAAGTTTCTTTTCATGGCCAGAATATTTAATTCCCAGCTCTGTTGTATCTACCAAGTATTTCACTATACGAAGAGCTGCATACCAGTGCCGTAAACCAGGATCTTGAATATACTGGCTCACTGAGATAACAGCATTGGATATATCTGGCCTGCTTACTGTGGCAAGGTAGAGCAGATTGCCCACTAACCTTCGAAAAGGAAATTGTTTCATTTCTTCTCTCTCTTTGTTTGAACTCGGAGACATTGTCTTAGACAAACGTTGAGCAAGTGAAGTTCCAGCTGGAGTGCTTACTCATTGAGAATTGTGAAGATACTTATTATATTCTTGCACAAGTTTTGTAGTATATTTTTGTTGATGTAAAAATATCTCCTTGAATTCTCTGTTACGTTTAATTTGTAATCCAAGGCAAAAACTCATCTCTCCCAAGTCTGTCATGTTAAAGCGGCTAGTGAGTTTTGCTTTTAAAGCCTTAAGAAGAGATGAGTGCGCAGCTAGCACCAGGTCATCAACATATACTGCTACAATAGCAAGCAGATTATTAGCCTCTGTTAACATATACGTTCCAGTCTGCTGTTGATCTTACAAAGTCTAGTGAGGTAAAAAACTCATGGAGTGTGTTGTACCAGGTTCTTGGTGATTGTTTCAGTCCATACATAGCTTTACTAAGGAAACATACAAGGTCCTCAGGCCCATTCTCCTCAAAACCCGGCAGTTGCTCAACATAAATCTCTTCCTCTAGTTTCCCATGGAGAAATGCATTTTTCACATCCATTGCATGAAGTTCTAAGTTCCATGCACAAGCCAGTGCAATGACAATTCTCAACTGGAGAGAAGATCTCAAAATAATCAACACCATGTGTTTGATGAAAGCCTTGAGTTACTAAACGTGCTTTAAAACGAGAGATGGATCCATCAGCGTTATATTTTAATTTATAAACCCAGCGGACCGGAATCACCCTTTGATGCTTGGGTTGAGGCACAAGAACAAACGTCTGTGTTGCCAGCAAGGATCTAAACTCATCAACCATACCAGCTATCCATCTGTCAGCATGTGAAGACTGGAGTGTTTCGTCTAATGAGTTTGGTTCTCCAGTTACTGTCATTGTATTGGCTTCATATTGTTTTAGATATCTATCATTCGGTTTCCATCGCCGAGCTGAACGACGTAGTTGAAACTCTTGTCTTGGTAGTTCATTTTCATTTCCTAGCACTACTTGATCATTCTGGTTTGGCTCTGGAAACACAGGCACAGCAGCGTTTTGATTTCCTAGTGGAATTTCTATTCCCGGAGGTAGTACTGAATTTTCACTGTTCTCATTATCAGAATCATCATCCTCGTCTGAGGAAAAGACAAGCTGGATATTCTCAATAGAATGCTCTTTTCCCTCTTCAAAAGGCTCTTGGTATGTTCCTATCTTTGGGAGAGCTTTCTCGTCCAGCTTAACAGTTCTTCGAATAAAGACATTTTGTCTTGTAGGGATCCAGACCCTGTAACCGTCTTTGGTCTCATCCTCATATCCAAGGAACACACATTGCTCTGCCTGACTTGCAAACTTAGAGTCTTGCTCATCTTTATGTATGAAGGAATATCCAGGGTTTCAAACACTCGTAAGTGTTGGACTTGAGGTTTGGATCCTGTCCATAGCTGGAATGGCGTACAACCATTTAATGCTTTTGTTGGAAGCATGTTTTGAAGGAGGAGATTGTGTCCTACCTTGACGAGGTTTAAGCAGCTGTTTTAATAGCTTCGCCCCAGAACTTTGGTGGCATTGCTTGCATCATGCAGTGAGCAGAATCTTTTAAAGTTCTCATTTTTCTTTCAGCGGTTCCATTTTGGCCATGTTCATATGGTACAGACCTTTGATGGGATATTCCTTTATCACTAATATAATCATTAAACTTTTCATTGATAAGTTCACTTCCCCTAATCATTTTAAGCTGGACACTAAGCTCAGCTTCAACTTTCTCATGAAAAGCTGCAAGGACCTCATCTTTGCTTTTGGCCCATACTTTTCTAGAGTAATCATCCACAATATGGAGAAAGCACTGAGCACCACCAAGTGTTTTTGTTTTCATTCCAAAAGATACATCCAGGTGTACCAATTCCAGAGGTCTACTCGTCTTATGCACTGAGCACTTACTCTTAGTCATTTTTCCCATTGCACAGCCATGGCAGAGACCACTCTCTTCTGAGTTTATATGAATACCATCAGCGAGTGACAACATTAGTTTCACCTACGAGAGCATGCATGTCCTAATCTTTGATGCCAAATATCAAAATTTTGAGATACATTTGCCTCAGATGCTAGCGACTGCACCTCTTGAGTGTCCTGATGAGGTATGAAGTAGAGGTCCCCTTGTCTTCTAGCGAGTGTAACTAGCGATCCTCCTTGAGTGATCCTGGCGTTTAAACTGTCAATGTGAGTGTGAAAACCAGAGTCAGCGAGTTTGCTCACAGAAAGTAGGCTTCTAGCTAAGTTAGGAACATATAAAACTCTCTGAATATGTGTTTTTAGCCGTGGTATGAATGTTGTGCCGACACCTTTGATCTGTAGAGTGGATCTAGAAGCCGTCCCAACTGTTGCTTTGTAGTCTCTCAGTTGCAGCGAGTTGAACCGTTCCCTTTGTTGAGTCATGTGATGTGTGGCTCCTGAGTCCAGCCACCAGTGATCATCAAGGAGAGGCCCATGACTTGTGAGACTTGCTGACACGTTGAAATAGTGAGGATAGGCCTCCTCTTGAAGAAATCCAAGAGGATATTTTCTTGAAGAGGAGGCCTATCCTCACTATTTCTTGGATCCTATATATCTAGCCTTTTCAGCTTCATTAATCTCAAGATTAGTTACATCAACTGTAGAGAGATTTGCTGTTGGAACTGGTATTGCTGCAGGTTCTTCAAGATAGTCTCGAACTGCTCCATGGTATTGACCTCGTCACGTACTCCACGGCCTCGTCCACGTCCACCACGGCCTCATCCTCGGTTGTATGGAGCAGGAGCTTGGCGTTGCTGGCGACGATCAGGTGCTGAAAAGTCTTGAGCAAGATGTCCAACTCCTCCACAATTGTAGCAGCGGCGCTCCAGTATTACCTCAGTTCCAGTATTGAATTGTTTGTTGGCAAAGAAGGCACTTGGCTCTCCTGACTCCTTCTTCCTCTTCATCGTGTTGGCCTTGCGGCTGGCCAAGACACTCTCCCGCTCCCGAATAGCTTTTTCAGCTTCTG